GTGGGAATGAGCCGTGTTGTTCAGTGGATCTGGTTTCGACAAACATCCGTGCACTATTAATAAATCATGGCCGCTCTACGCAGTGGGATGCTGTTGGCGTCACTGTGTTTGAGTGAGTGAGTGAGTGAGTGAGTGTGTGTGTGTGTGTGTGTGTGTGTGCGTGTGTGTGCGTGTGTGTGTGCATGCGTAAATCATTATGAGCCATAACCTTATGTTTAAACAAGACTTCAGAAGTTTTTCCTCACTCTCCTGAGAGAGAGAAAAAAAATACTTTTTCATCTCTTGAGTGTTGCACACACACACACACACACACACACACGCACACACACCACCTCCTCCAGTGTTTCTTGTGCTTCTGTTGCTGCTTCCCTAAAAAAAAACAAAAAAAAAACACTTTCACTCTGCTTTCCTTAAATTGGCAGCCTTGGCATGTGAAATTGCAGACCTAACCCTAATTAATCGTTGTAACCTTTTAACAGCACTACATAAAACTCAACCGGTGCAACCAAAAGGCTTGAACCTATCCATTCCTCAGTTTGCGGTGGACCTGCCAGGATGATACTTTAAGGCTGCGGTTGTGAGCCTTTTAACAAAAACAGCTTGCACATTGTAATCAGGCTGACACTCATGCACAAGGAGGTGAGGGAAAAGTGATGGTTCGGGAAAGGGAACAAGTGACTGAAAAATAAGGAAAAGATTTAAAAGAGAGAAGGTTGTAGACATGGTGATTTGTGACCCGCAGGAAAAAAAAAAAAAAAACCAAAGGGGCTCACTTTCCCCGAGCTCTGAGAGGCCAAAACAGACGCAGGCGCTCGCTTGTTTCGCCGTGTGTTTCCCCTTGATAACGCTCAGGAAGCTCGCAATGCACTCACTCTGACTCTGTAACAGAAATCAGTTTAAAGGGCCAAAACATGTTCATTTATTATTATTTTTTGTTGTTGTTACAGAACCTGATTTTCTCGCTACTATCATTTCATAATTGTTGCGAAAAATAGGTACGAAAAAAATAGGTACGAAAAAAAAAAAAACAAGCGATCACTGTGTTTCCTTTCGGTATTTGTGCTCTTGGCAAGGTGAGAAAGCCTCGCGGGTGTTTCATTCTCGCTTATTTACGGCACATGTTAACACGCTGGTGTGCGCCAGAGACGGAGAGAATGTCAGTCTGTTAGAAAGTCAGCAGGCTCTTTGAGTTAGGAGACGATGTTTGATAGCGTGATGTGGTTTCCTTTTTTCCCTCTTTGCTTCCAGACAGCTTGTAGACTTTATCCCTGCACTTAACACAACCTCTGTCTGAATTCAGTCACAGTGATAAGAGTTTAAAAAAAAAAGAAAAAAAGGGAGATTTAAAAAAGTGTCCTTGTTCTGTCTCAATCCCACTGTGGGCCAGACAACAGCGTCATCACACCTCTTCCACCGGCAAACGCTCGCTCGTTCTGGGATAATTCTCGCCGATAAGTGAACATGTTTGACGCCTGATTAGTGCGCTTTGGAGTGTGGTTTCGCGAGCTTGTTAAACACACACCTCCATGTGTCGCAGATAAGGAAATAAAGACATACAGGAGGAGATTTTATGAAGGATGGGGAGGGTGGGGGGGGGGGGGATCTCTCAAACACAGTCTGAAAGAGCTGCTGTTCTCTCTGACTGCAAATTCCTGCCCTGAGCCGGAGGATGATGTGCTAAAAAATCAAGTCGGTGAGAGATTGAGCACCGGGTGTTAGCTTTGAAGTTAATTTGACGAGTGCGAGAGAGCTTCAACTGTGAGCGGCATCACCTGTGAAAAAAAATTAAAAAAATACAAATCTGCTGTCGCCTCAGAGGCAGAGTGAATTCTGTGTGAGGGCGTGTTTAAGTGAGTGGACTGTGGCTGCTTATTCAGTCAGCAAACATCCATGTCTGTGTGTGTCTGTGTGTGTGTGTGTGTTTTTAAATGTGTGTCTGTGTGTGTGTGTGTGTGTGTCTGTGTGTGTCTGTGTGTGTGTTTTTAAATGTGTGTCTGTGTGTGTGTGTGTGTGTGTCTGTGTGTGTGTGTTGAAACATCATTACCTGGGGATCTGAGTGTACGGCCAGACATCATTAGACTTTAAGGGGAGAAAATCTCAACGGCACTGGTTCTGCAGTCTGCCTGAACCCGGCAAACACGACAGGCAGCCACACCGTTTAAGATCATTTATTTGGATTTTGCATGCATGCCTGTATTTGTGTTTGTGTGTGTGTGTGTGTGTGTGTGTTTACTTGTTATTTATTTATTTTGTCTGGTAATATGCCTGAGCCTTCATTATAGCCAGAGCCATAACTTTGATAAATCACTTGGGCTCGGGGCCCTCACTGCTTTCACAGTATTAGAAAACTAATTGAAATTCTCTTCCGCCCCCTCCTCTTCCTCTCTCTCTCTCTCTCGTTCCTCTCGCCCTCGCTCTCTCTTTCTCTCGTTCTTTTTCACTCTCTCTCTCTTTCTGTTTTTCATCCTTTCCCTCCTTCGTCTCTGGTGCTGGGGCCAAACGGCGCCTTGTGTTTTCAGCAGCATAGAAGCCAAAAGGGGGGAAATGTCATCACTGATTTAATAGGCATAGTCTCACTACTGGAGCACACACACACACACACACACACATGCACACACAAACACACACTGCACTCTGGGGAGTGTTAGGAATCCTGATAATGTCATCATAGGAATCTCCATAATGTACTCGGGTCTCCTGCAGGCTCCAGTTTGACTCCTCTTATCTCCTCTCCTCTGCGTTTGATTAGATCCGGGATGAGATTTTGGGTTTAGGTTGATAGGATTTACTGTTTAGATACTTGTTTCTATGACCATGATCTCCCCCCTCCCCCCCCTTCCCTCCCACATGCCCTAGGATTGAGGGTCTGTTTGGTTCGTTGCCTGGGATCTCCCAGCTGCCACTGGATTTAGGGTTTAGTTGTCTCATTGTCCGTGATCCCCCTGCTGCGTCTAGATTTGATTCATTTGCAGGATCTCTCAGCGCCGCAGATAAACTCAGGGTGCGGTTGTTTTGTTGCGCAGCATCCCCCAGATTACATGTTGTTTAGTTTACTTTTGGGGTCAGTTTGTTTTATTGCCCATGATCTGTTTGCTGGGTTCAGACTAATATCGCTTTATTGTTCGGTGCCACCTCTCAGCTGTTGCAGGATTTGAGATTTGGGCTGTTTTGTAGTCCAGGATCTCCTTGGTGCAGCTGGATTTCAGGGGGTTTTAGTCTCTTCTTTTTTTAATATCCACAAACTGCTACTGTGACACTTGGGGCTTTGTGTCCACCCAGCAACCGCTCCTCTCTCTCTCTCTCTCTCTCTCTTGCTCTCTATCTATCTTTCTCTCTTTCTCTCTCCTCTCTCTCTCTCTCTCTCTCTATCTGTCTTTCTCTCTTTCTCTCTCTCTCTCACTCTCTCGCTCTTTCTCTCTCTCTCTCTCTCTCTCTCTCTCGCTCTCTCTCGCTCGCTCTCTCTCGCTCTCTCTCTCTTTCTTTCTCTCGCTCTCTCTCTTTCTTCCTCTCTCTTTCTTGCTCCCTCTCGTTCTTCCTCTCTCTCTCTCTCTTGATCTCTCTCTCTCTGTCTCTTTCTTGCTCTCTCTCTCTCTTTCTTGCTCTCTCTCTTTCTTCCTCTCTCTCTCTTGCTTTCTCTCTTTCTTTCTCTCTCTCTCTGTCTGTCTTGCTCTCTCTCTTTCTCTCTGTCTCTCTCTCTGTCCCTCTCTCTCTCCTCTCTCTCTCCTCATTCTCTCGCTCTCTCTCTCCTGCTCTCTGTCTGTTTTGCTCTCTCTCTTTCTCTCTCTCTCTCTCTATCTCTTCCTCTCTCTCTCTCTCTTTCGCTCTCTCTCTCTCTCTCTCTCTCTTTCGCTGGGTGAAGCTTTGTATTGTGAAGCCAGAGATTTAGCGATGGAAGCAGAGGCAGGTTGTTTATGTGAGGCGGTGATTTGGTGGAGTCCTGCTGTCAGCACACAAAATTCCCTCCGCAAACATTCCTCTAACGTGATGCAAGCCCAAGAGAGGAGGGTGGCGTGTGCGTGTGTATTCTGTTTTTTCAACCGGCAGCGTGTGTCTGTTGCCCAGACAAATCCATACCAACGCCGCCCCCCCCCCCCCCCCCCCCCCCCCCCCCCCCCCCGCTCCCGCCCCTGCCCCAAACACACTGCCTGCAGGCACATAACCACACATAAACACAGGCATTGCATGTGTGTGCAGCTAATGAGGATGTGTTGATTGATTAGACTGCAGTAATTAGCCGGAGTGTGAAGGCCTGGAAAGGTTTCCGCTCTGGTGGGAGTGTCTCCTCTGAACTGTTCTATGCACCATTATGTTTCACACCACAGAAACAGTCCCATCCAGATCTCAGATACGGGATGAGTCATCTCTCAGAGGCAGACTTTGTGAGGCGCGTGGAGGGATGTTTGCTCTGTGTGTGTGTGTGTGTGTTTCAGACATAAGGATGTTTGCACCGTGTGTTGCACAGTGAGATGTGCTTGTGCCAGCAGTTTCCCTTCCTGCACAGCATGGCCTGAACGCTGACCCGATCCTCTTTCTGACAAAACAACTCCTTCCCTTACCTCTTCTTCCTCTTCTCGTTTATCTGTAATTTAACTTCCCCCTTACGGCCCACATTTCTTCCGTGCATCACACAGCTGCTTCTGGTAAACGCAAATAATATGGAATTAAGTTAGGCAGCCACCTCCATCTGTAGCCCTCCTCCTGCTATATATATAGTCGATGTAGCATGAAAAAGCTGCAGGAAAGCATTGTAAACAGTGCCACCACATGGGCAACTAAGGAACTGCACGTGATGCAGTGCTTTCAGGAGATTTAACCACCCAACTTTGATGCTGTTTAATTTGATCTGAAAGTTAAAAACTGACTCACTCCCAAAGGACAAGATTGTTTTAACACATTATCTTGTTTTTACATGCTGTTTTAATGCTTCTACATCTGTAACGTTCTGAGTTCTTCTATTGGTGCAGTTTTTTCATGTGAATCTTTTTTTTCCTCGTCCACAGGAAGTTCTACTACATCACTCTGCTGAGGGACCCGGTGTCTCGATACCTCAGTGAGTGGCGGCATGTCCAGCGCGGAGCCACGTGGAAAACCTCCTTGCACATGTGCGACGGACGGACCCCGACGCCCGAGGAGCTGCCGTCCTGCTACGAGGGCTCCGACTGGTCGGGCTGCAACCTGCAGCAGTTCATGGACTGTCCCTACAACCTGGCCAACAACAGACAGGTACTGAGATCAAGCTGACAGTAGGAAGAAAACACAAAACGGACGGAAACAGAGTTTTATAAGGAGAATCAGTTTGAGCCGTTCAATTCAAAGCTTTGCCTTTTGGGCCACAACAATCCCCCATCAGTGACTCAGATCGTCCTGTAGAAAGCATGTTTGTCAATAAGCAAAAGCTGTCCTACATTCACAGCCAACATCTGTATATATGTCTATATACCATATAGAAGAGGGATTTTAGTTAGCTACTTCTAGGCTAATGTTAGCATTATGAGTCTCTTCTCTCCTTAACTGATCGGGGTTGTCACATCGAGTGGTTGCAGTCCTCTGAACTGAAGGATGTTACAGAGTGGGAGGCTGCCCACTGACATTCAGACGTTCAACTTTTGCTCCCGGGCTTCTCTCGGGTCATTTGTGCAAAAACCTTAAAGGAGCAGTTTGTGATTCTGCGATATTCACCACTATCCGTTTCTGCACCACCTGACCACACGTCTGTCGTTAATCCACGCCCACTCTGATTCACTAATTCAAAGGAAGGTTTTATTTTTTTTTGATTTAGGAAAAATGAATAAATAAAAGAGGCCAAATGTCCCCTCTCGAAACAGACACCGCAGATTGAAATGATCGTTAGAACGAGATCGTCAAAAAGGCACCCACGGCGTATCTCTTTACCTTGCGACGAGTTTTTAAACACACGGCACAAGAGGAGCTGCACACTTGTGAGCACGCACTCTCTCGCGCACACGCACACACCGTCAGAAGTTTGCCTGCTGGCAATAAACACCTCAGATTCACACCTTCCTTTCTCATGCTATCTCAGTCTCCCACCTAAACGTGTTGGCCGGCTTATCTCATCGGAGCTTCAGGCTGTTATTACTCCTGGTCCCATGACTTATAAATGTGAAAGCACACACACACACACACACACACACACACACACACACTGGAGGCATGCTGGTGGAACAGCAGGCTGAGATGAATCCAAATCAGTATGCAGTCACTTCTCCTGTAGTGTAACACAACAGCTCCAGAGTGCACTGAGCGATACAATGATCTCTCATTATAGAACAAACTTCTTCTGTAGTTCATGAAGTATCACAGAAGTTTTTCTCTAACCCCCCCCCCCCCCCGTCTTCTCCTCTCCTCTTCAGGTTCGCATGTTAGCCGACCTGAGCCTCGTCGGCTGCTACAACATGTCGACGGTTCCCGAGAAGAAGAGGGCCCAGCTCCTCCTGGAGTCGGCCAAGAAGAACCTACGAGACATGGCCTTTTTTGGTCTCACAGAGTACCAGAGGAAAACCCAGTTCCTGTTCGAGCGGACCTTCAGGTTGCGCTTCATCAGGCCTTTCATGCAGTACAACAGCACCCGAGCTGCGGGGGTGGACCTGGACAACGCTACAGTAAGGGCTAACGCTCTGTCCTCTTTTGTAGATTCAGTCAGGGAGGCAGGGACCAAAACATCTTTTATTATAATGACAGATTAAAGAAGACACAAGAGAAAGTCAATAACTAAGCAGAACCACTCAGGTGATCCTTCACCTGAGCATTCAGCTGCATGTCATAGGTAGGTTTATAGTTTTACCTGCTACTTTATTATTTAGTAGCAGACAGGTTCTAGCTATTGTAGGTTCACTTAAACAACTGGCGCTGCATTGTTGTGTTAGCATGCTAACGCCAGCGATCTTTATTATGCTGGTATCTTCACACTGCATGTAAATTTACCTGAAATGAGCGTGATCTAGAAACACAGTTAAGCAGTGAGTACAGTATGTTATTCTTCTTTTCTCTAGTCCCTCAATTAAACAACTTTTATACACGAGGGGAGGAGTCAGCTGGCCGTCCGGGCGATGTAAACAAACTGAAGATAGGACTCTGAAAACATCACAGACAGTGGGACTCGGGTGTTACACCCATTGCAGACAGTCATGACTCTCAGAGTTATTGTCAGAGGATATACTTGATTTCTATTACATTTAAGTGTGAAAAATTGCATATTAAGCCTTTAATGGATCAGGGTTCATTTCTGTACCTAAGGCAGTCTGTTGTCATAACTGTAGTGAGTATGATGTCTGTCAGAATGGATGAAGGAAAAATGTCTTATTTACCCTTCTATTTGTTTTTCTACCAACATCTCTTTTAGACAGAGACGCAGCAGAAGTCACTCCTTCAGTTACAGAGAGGAAAAATAAAAGAAATCTGTCACAAGACTTGAACAATAATCTTGGAGAAGTAGTTGATAGATGAGAAGCCGAGTGTAAACACAGCGGTCTATTATTGTTGTGAAATGAGTTGGGAGGACTGTCGCCGTTTAAAAAGAGAAAAAAACCCAGACAAACAGCTGCTTCAAACGTGTTCTTCACACTTTGATTGGTCCAGTGTGCTGCTTCTTGGGCTCAATTTTCCCTGCGAAAAAAAAAAACATTTCCTCCAATACGCAGCCACGACTGGTGATTTATACATCAAAACCAGTCGGCAGGAGAGGAAATACAATATGCCCCGCTGAGAGAGGGATGGGGGAAAGTTTGGTGGATGGTTATTATCACAAAAAAAGAGAAAATGTCATGTTTTAAAGGTTTGCAGAGGGAAGGAGGGAGGGAGGCTGTGCGTGGCTTTTTCAGAGAAATGTAAAGTAAGCTTTCGAAAATTAAATACTTCCAAAGGCAATGTATGAAATTGTTACCTCATTTAGTAACTTTAAAAAAAAGTCATTTAATTACAGCGGGAGATGAGAGGAAGAGAAGCCGCGCGCACTCTCCTGCAAAGCTGCAGAAAATCTGCTCACGGCTTTGGGTTTGTCGTTTCTGACTGAAACTACTTACTCAGTTTTATGACGACTGTTTCTCTGATTCTTAAAGACTTTGTATCTTTGATGACTTGAGCTCAACGCAGTCTTCCTGGCTTTGTGTTCCGGTGCCCCCCCCCCCCAATCAAATGTTTTTTTTTCCAATTGTCTACCACTGATGCAGCATGTCGCTTCCCTCTGTTGTTGCACAAGTCGCCCACAGATTCTATCCGGCACGCCATCACAGATTTCAAAGGGATTCTCTTAATTAAACACAAATTCCCCCCCCCCCTCACACACAGCAGATGATACACACCAGTACAGACAGCGGCATCGCACAACCACACATCAAACACATTTCTGTTATCTTGCTCCACATATTGCCAACTCGGCTCTTTCTGTCTTTGTTCTCCATTTCTTGTAATAGAGCAGTTTCACGTCCCTCCGCAATAGTTCCAGATGACAGAAAGTTCCTGCTCTCACTGTAATACTGCTACCCAAGGCGGTTTCCAGGTAGACTTTGGAAGGTGTTTTTGGTCCTGGGGATTCCCCGTCCCTGGTAGGAACTTCCTAGTAGGGAGCTCACCTGAGAACTTCACGCCTTCAAATGCTTTTTCTGTTTGTTTGTTTACAAATACAAACAATAGGAACATTCAGACGACCTTAGCAAGCCCACAGTGATGGATGCTGATGTCCAACATGTGTTTCTCAGTTCTGATTCATAAGTTTCACAATGGAAATCAAAGTTGGTAAGACCATGCAGAGAGTAGTTACTCTGAAGCAGGCTGAGCGGTCTGAGCTGTGATTTGGGGGGCGGAGCCTGTCCAGCCTGCTTTGCCCCTCGAGCTCCCATTGGCTTCTTCATCCAGTGACTCACAGGCCGAGAAAGACGCTTACGGTTGAGTGAATGACGTCAGCACGTCTTCTTCGTGACATCGCACTTCAGGTCCTCCCTATGTTCCAGATGTTTTTTATTTTTTAAATTTGGTTAATAAAATTTAGGCTGAAACTCAAAAACTAAAAATCCGAGAACTTCAAGATCTAAAAAGAGTTGTTCTTTTATGCTCTCTTCGCATCTCACATGCGACTACTGGGCTTTCTGGATATTCCTTCACTTTTATTTGTTTAATCTGCTCAAAAATGACGGTTACACAACAGTATTTACAAAGAACAAAACATGAAAATGGGGACTTTCAGGCTGCTGTGATGTTTTTATCCTGTTCATCGTCCTGGGAAATTAGTCCCTTAGTTTGGATCTGCAACTATTTTTTTTCACAGACGGCTTTAACTTAGTCTGTCAGCTATTTTCAGTCTCTTTTTTTCTCCTGTCACTCACCTCTTCTCCTCCGTTCTAACTGGCACATGTTTCCCTGCGTCCTCCTGCTCAGGTCCAGCGCATCGAGGAGCTGAACGAGCTCGACATGGAGCTTTACGACTACGCCCGGGACCTGTTCCAGCAGCGCTACCAGTACACCCGGCAGCAGGAGAGGCGGCAGCAGCGCATCAAGAACCACATGCTCCAGAGCCACCAAGGCCTGGGCCTGGGCGTCAACCTGTGGCCCTCGCACAGCCGGCAGAGCGCCGTGTCGACGCTGGAGGACGGGGAGGGGGAGAGGGAGGAGGGCGAGGAGGGAGGGAGAACGGAGGAGGCGGGCAGCAGACTCCCCACAGAGGACTACATGAACCAGATCATCAACCGCTGGTAGCAGCAGAACGAGAGCAAACACACGGACATGCATATGTAATGTGAAACACACACGTACACACCCATACAGAGAGAGTGAGGCCTGCTTCAAACACTTTACTGACTGATAAGCAGACTTTACTGAGTATTGGGCCGCGGGAATCAGAGGCCAAGTGGTTGCTATGTAGACCTGGGCACGGTCAAATGCATCAGCTAACATAATTGGGGGTTTGCCCAGTTGTTATCAGCACCCGCTTTCCCTCCCCCCGCTCCTCTCTGAGTTTCTCCCCCTCTCTGATCATCCTCACAGACCGAGAAGAGGAGAGAGATTTTTAAGAGTTGCCGAAAAAACGTACACGTCACCCATCTCTCCCCCGCTCCTCTCCTTCTCCTGTATTCCGTCGTCTCTGTGGCCTAATATGGAGCATGAGAAAATTAAAAAAATTAAAGTCTGTGAATTCCCAAACTTAACTTTTGCCGAAAAGGACCAGTCTACATCCTGGATGCTCCGATTTACAAAAAGAACCGGAAAAGCTCTGAGAAAAAAAAAGTATGCCGACGGCTTAGCTGAACAAAGACAAAAGTGGGAGTGAAAGAAAGACTGATCCTGAATGAGAGAAAAACTAATTGGACTGAGATGTGTGATAAAGCTTTCTGCTTAAAAACAAACAAACAAAAAAAAAAGAAATCAGCCATTTCACCCATAGACACGCTTTGGTCATGAAATACTGACCGTGTCATTCTCATGATATGATTTTTATTTTTTTGTTTGTGCTTTTATTTTATTTTTTTGAAAGCAGAATTGTAATAACACTGAGACCAATATTGCTGCCTAAAAGAAAGTGATTCCTTTTAATTTCTTTGTTTTTATTGTTTTTTATAAGTCAAAGCTGGTGGGTGGGATTGACGTACAACGGACCATAGCCATTACTGAAGCCTTGCATCTTTTTTTTTTCTTTTTTTTGGGTTGGGGGTTAAGTGACTTGTTTCTCTGTTTAAGGTTTCCAAAGCTCCTGTCGCTCATTATTCCTCCTTTGGTCACAATTTTTCTTTCTGTGCGTCTCAGTCCTGCTGAGAATAACAGCCAATTAGGGAGCAGTATCACCACATAGGTGTGAAGAAAGGCAGCGAGAGGAGTTAGTCTGCTGCAGGTAGTTGCCAGGAGCCATGCAGTGTGTGTGTGTGTGTGTGTGTGTGTGTGTGTGTGTGTGTGTGTGTTTGTGTGTGAGTTTGTGTGTGAGTGAGCGGCAGGCGCTTCAGAAGCCTTAACTTAGAAAAACTGCTCCAAAAAAGAGTCACTGAACTCTTGCGGTCACCATGGCAGTGCGGGCCCTTAATGCAGTGGGCAGTATTTTCAGTCATCTGGGTATTTTGATCTTCTTCTTCTTCTTCTCTTGTCCTGACCGAGAGCTGCGTTGCAAAAGTGGTGGTCACACAAACGAGCCCTCCCTTCCCCATCTGCTCAAAGTGCCCCGCACTGCAGCGGTGGTGACCTGCAGTTCATTGGTGGACGCGGACCCTGAAGACCGCTCGGGGCGAGGTAGCAGTGCCTCTATGTACTGGGATCATAGCTAACATAATTATTGCCAGATATTACAATATACACGGTAATTTCTCTGACTACTTGTGTGTCTGCGTGGATGATTGTGTGTGTGTAAATAGTATTTACAGTATGCCTTTGATTGGCGTATGTGTATGCCTTTGTAAATAGTATGCCTGAATGAGAAAGAGAGAGAGGGGTTTTTTTTGTGAATGACTGGTTCCATGACCAAGATTTTCTCACTATTTTATTTTTTTTTAGTGGCCAACTAAATCCCTCCCACAGGATGTCACAGCAGTGTGACCGTCACAGTGATGCAAACTAATAATAGTCCCCTCTGAAATGTTCCTTTACCTTTTTTTTTTTTTTTAATTCTCTCCTCCTTTCTCTCGTCTCCTTCCCGTGGACATATGAGGACGGTGTAGATATAACCGCCTTGACTCTAATTTATGTATCAAAGACATCTGCAGGTGACACAACTTGACCCTCAAGCAGAGGTTGGTTACGACGGCAAAAAAAGCTGCAGAATGTCCTGATTGAGAATTTTGTGCCTTTGAGCCACAAGGTCGCAGAATTTGTCGTAACACCGGCACAATGTCAGGATTCATTTAGGTTTAATGCTCAAAGTGACCATCTCTCTTTCTGATTAGCAAACAGCTGAATAGAAACACTCCTTCAGCCTTGACTAGGTTAACACAGCAAACATTGTTATTCCCCACTTGTGAAGTCACTGCATTATTTTGTGATTCAGACACACAGAATTCTTAATATATCAAAACATCATGTTTTTTTTTATTTTTTTAATGCTGTTTATCTTGTTGATGCTTGTATCTTCAAAGGAAAACAGTTGTGATCTCTCAGGTGTCAGGCTCTCTGGCTGGAAAGATAAAATGTTTGCCCCGGGAAAGTGTAACATTTTAACCAAATACTCCTACAGATTAACTCCGGCTACTGGTAAGACCTGAGCAGTCTATTCCAGCGTGGAGGAAGTCTGTGGAAGTATTGGTTTAAAGATGAGCTTCATTCAACGTAAACATTAATCAGAATGCGAGGGGGAAAAAAAACATTGGACACAATCTGCTTGTGAAAAACACGATGTTTAGACGTCCCCCCCTAAAGGATGACACTTTGTGATAAACCTCCAGATGAGACGCAGAGTGCTGAGGTCTCTGATGCTGCACATTTTTATCAACCTGTGTCCAATCATTTTTAATTCTGTCATGCCTAAAATGAGACTTTTACAGTGTCTGTATTCAGATTTTTTTATATATTATATTGATGATTTTAAGGGTCTCTTCTACTCTGCAGAATCTGGCCGATAACTTTGCGTTACATTCAAGAGAATCCATTGTTAACCTTTTAACATAATCCGAAAAATCGATCCGTATCAGGACTTTTAGCGTTCAAAACAAAGTGGCTTGTGAAACACAAAATGCGCCGCCCTTCTTGTCTCGACGACTCGGATACATGAAATCATTTCCAGACAACGTAGGCGCAGCACATGTTTGAGTTTCAGCTGTTTATAACCATAAACGTAAAAAGAGACGAGGATCAAAACAAGATTTATGATATCAAACCTCTACATGAAAGTAGAAAGGGGAAATAGAAATGTCACAAGCGAGATCTAATCTCAGTGAATGTAGTCTGCTGTCATCCCGGGTGCGGTGGGGAGGATGCACGCATGCCTCCTTTTGTGTAAAGAAATCAAATGTTTCACGTTAACAATTGATTTACCTTACAGTCAAACGTAAAGGGGGAAAATGATCATTTAGCCACCCACCGGCCTCCCTGTTAAATTTCCACTGATCACCCTGGATCCTCCCGCGTCGCTCTTTTTATTTTTTGATCGGCTCCTTTTCAAATCAGGGATGATTCATGAAGGGAAGGAGAGGAGAGAACAGAACAAGGAGGGGATGATGAAAGGTATTGGGATGCATCCAGAGTCAATATGCTGCTTTTTGTGTAGCCTTCAAAGTAAAGCGAAATGGATATAGGAAGAGAGATCTCCCCCTATTTTTATTTTTTTTTCATATTAACTTCCCCTTCATTGTGTTTTGAAAACTGGAGGCTCCAAAACACTGCAGCCTCCAGGCGTTTTGCCCACAACCTCTTTTTCTTTTTTTTAATTTGTATTTTTTTGTTCCAAAGTCAGACGTAGAGCGTGTTTGGGCTCCAAACCAATATCTGTTTTAATACTAAACTGATTCTCTACCTTGGGGAGTGTTTTTTTTTTCTTTTTCTATTTTCAGCGTTCCAGTTTCAGTCCTCAGAAGGGATTGCTGCGTGTGGAAGAAAGAAAGAGAGAGAAAAAAAAGAGAAAGAAGCTCCTTTCACTGAAATGATTCCAGGAATTAATGCTGTAAAAGCTATACTCAAATGTTTTCTGTCTCATCACCATGTATATCTGATGTCTTAACAACGTTTCCTTTGTGATAATGAATCAGCCCAGGTGTCTCTAACATCAACTTTATTTTTATTTTTTTAAAAGATGTGTTTAAAAAGAGTGTGATAGAGACTTATCTGTTTTTGGGGATTGGTTGGGGGGGTGCAGTCTGTTTCTGGCTCCTTCTGTATGCATCAAACTTGGTTTGTTTCATATGATCGCAAAAATGAATCATCAAGCCACCAATTAAAATATTTCACTTTTACAGACCTGGCTGTGTCGTGGTTGTCACTGCATATCTTTTCTGGTGCACTTTATCATCACAGTCATATAAAAACACCTCCACTTTTGACTTTTTCTTTTTCTTTTCTTTTTTTTTTTTTTAGATGCAATGTACATCCGAATGCTGGCACATTTCAATCGCAGAAAAGCAATTTACAACTTGTTCCAGGAGCGCTTCAGGTGTCCACAACTCCATCCACAGTCTGATCCATAATCAGAGGACTTCCACCTCTTGCCCACACACTAACCACAAGACCCTGACCCCCATAAAGCACCCTTTGCCCCCCCTCTCCCTCCCTTCTAATGACAGCCTCAGCCCTGTCAACAGTGATCTACAACCTAATTGAATCTGCAGACACGCGGCGCCTGCATAACACACGTTCATGCACACAAAATATGTTCCACTTCCTCTGTGTGGGTAGGCGTATGGAATCTACAGGCCGGTGTAAATGTCCTGTCCTTGACTGATCATGCGAAGAAGAGGCAGCACAGTGCAGGCTTCTTTTTTTTTTGCCCTCTCTCTCTCTCTCTCTCATCAAACGTCCAGCGAGCTTCACCTTTAACCCCTCGAAGCGGTGCAGAAAATAATTTACCTGGACAGAGACAAGGCTAGAGGGGGATGAGACGGATCAGAGTGTAAGAGAGATGAGGACTCAGAGGGAGCTTTTTAATGTAAGACAGGAGGACAGAGGATGTTTTTGTGCCTGCCGTATGAAAAGAGAATAAGCGAGGGAGCAGTGCAGACTCTCTGGCAGCTGCTATGTGCTGTATTAAACTGAACGCAGTCTTTTAATCCTCCCCAAAGCTCCGGGTTGCTGTCATTTCAAGTGCAGCTGGACTTATTTCATAATAATGGCTGAGCTGTACTGCAGAGGGGCTGGGCGGCTTTTTTTGTGCGGTCAGTCCTGCAGTAGGGAATCCGGCTGTCAGTGATTGTTCAGGCTCTCTGGCTGCGGTCCATTAATAGGAGGTCAAACTGGCTGCAGCAGCTCTCGTGCGTCTTTCATGCAAACAAAGAAGCTTTTGGCGTTATTATCGCTTATTTTCAGCGTGGAATTCTGCAGATAAAGTCACATTTGAGTGCTTCTTTTTACGTCCCATCAGAGCCCAGGCTATTGTAGATTCTGGAGAACTGCCCCGTCGGCGCTTGAACCGGTGGTCACTGTGGAGTTTGTTTTTTCTGTTACTGGTTGAGTCGTTTCCAGCAGTGGCGTGGCCCAGACCTTTTATTGTCAAATTTACAATGCGGATAAATCTCTAAACAAGCATTTCGCACCAGATTCAGTATCCTGTTTTGTCAAGAAGTTAAAACACAGAGCAGCGGCTGAGTTCAACCCAGTGCTGGAGTGCACACCCCCCCCCCCCCCCCCCCCTCCAGCAATATGATTAGATCAGACATCTGGGGTTGTTATCTGACCTTCCACTCCAGGTTTGGCTAATCTCCCAGGTCAGCAGCAAATCACCTCTCATGATATTAAAGGATTGAACACAAGAATCCAACCTCCAAGGCAGCGCTCGACTTTGGAGCTCATACAGACTGACACCAGTGGGAGTCCAATCTGAGGAATCCCACAATCCCATTACGATCTAAAATGTGTGTTTATTATGTGTGTGTGTGTGTGTGTGTGTGTGGAGCCACGACCCGGGAGCCCATGAAGAGCAGATCTGCTGTGAACTTCTTAACCTCCTAATACACGTCTAAATGTTGATGCTGGAGAAATGCAACAGGACACATACTGCTGGGTTAGGGCTGAGCATGAAATCTAAGGCTGTAGGAGGGGTCAACACACACACACACACACACACACACACACACACACACACACACACACACACACACACACACACACACAGCGCATAGGAATGTAAGTGGAGAAATTTTTTGCACAAAAAAAGAGCAAAAACCTAAAAGGTTGCCTTTTTGCTGAATAAGTGTTTAACAGTTACCAAAACCATAGTAACCATGTCTGCCCTTTTCTCTTCTTTGTGTTTTTAAGATTTGGAGCTCAGTGTTTCTCCTGGCTGTAATGTTGTGAATTACCTTCATGGAGGAGGCCCCGGCTGACCCCCATTATACAGTCAGGGACACATTTAATTAGCAGCAACTCACGTGAAACGACAAAATGTATTAATATTAATGGAGGTTTAATTGAGGTCGTTTTTGGTCCCCCACTGAGGCTTTCAACCTCTAAAAACGGCTGACGTGTGATAGTGTGAGGAGCGGGAGCCAACAGCCCGGGTTCGCCATTTCGCATGTGACCCCAGAGAGGATGACAACCATCTCCCATAATTCATCTGAAGATGTCACCTTCATGACAGATGAACAGGCCCTGTGGGCAGCGTGTAAAAGTGTGTGTGTGTGTGTGTGAGGACAGGTTCTGCTTTCCTTGCAAGGACTTTCTAGAGAGGATGATTAGACATGTTCATGTAGGAATAAAGCTGATTTCTGTGTTTGCATGTGTCTCTGTGTGTGAATTCATCAACATGAGTGAGGTGTTGTGTGTGCATGTGCAATTCAAAGCGAAGGTCAAATTCAGCAGGATAATTAATGTCGCTGCTTTTTATATAATGTTAAATCAAACGCTGGAACTGCTCCCTCTGGAGGATCAGCTGTCCAATTTAATTTAGGCTGCAGAGCGAGTAAATGAAAAAAAGCAAGAGTCATGTCTCCACACTGCGGGACTGTGTCTCTGTACCTTTCATCTTCTTTTTAACAAGAAGACCACACAACAGGTGGACTGGGAGCCTGACAAGTCGTACCAATCTTCCCCAAAGGGGCCGTCTATATCCTCGCACAAAGAACACAGCCTATCACATATATCCAAGGTAAAGGTTTACAAAATGAACCCCGGGAGTCCCAGGTGCCTTCTGCGGAATGAGGAGGATTTCAGCTTCTCTGCTTTTTTCATTACCACATAACAAATGCTGGAAACCAAAGGGACAGCTTTGGCTTATTCTTAATACAGGATTTATTTCCCATGGCTATCACTCCCAGCATGCATACAGCAATCCTCATTTCCATGAGCGGTTTGCAAATGAATATGTGCGGTTTTCTTAAATCGGGTCCCAAATAAATACAGGACACCTTTGCTGTGCTTGCTTCCACATAAATACGGGAGCTCAAAGCATATAAACATATACAAGTATCAGAGATGCAGCGATCCTTTTTTTTTTTACAGTTCAGATCTGATTCCAACACATATGCTGTTTATCAAAATTACAATTGTCATTGCTGTTGTTGGTATGATGTGTAAGGTTGTGGCGCTTCTAGACCACTTTTACTCAGGGGGCCAAACTGGGGCAAAAGATGATTGCTTTAAAAATATGTATATTAAGCCAAATATTAGATTAAATACCATGATTTATATTCATTTCAGTAACAGTATTTAATACTAGATTGTGAGTCCGGTTGTTGAGTCAAACACTGTGTATGTGTTTTTAGGGGGGGCTCTTCCTTTTGGAGGGGTGGCCACAGGGGGGACCAAGCGGGCCTTGTTGTTGGCCCCCTGCCTAGAACCGCCCATGAGCTGCAGTAACCCCAGCACTGCATTTCTTATTCCAGAGTGTAAAAATATTAATGCAAAAATAAATACAAATGTGCAACAATTAAAATGATTCCAAAGAAATGTATTTGAACCTGGCGCTGGCTTCACATAAAAACAGGAAGAAGCAACAACTGTAAGGTTTTCAAGTTAAGTATAAAACTGAAGAGTAAGAATTGTACTTTTTATCACAGAAGGCGATCCATCGTCTGAACGTCTTCAAAGCGAGACTGTGCAAGTTGAGGGTGTTTTAATTGCCCAATGATCTTTCTTCATCTGTGACGTGGATCGGTGCCATCAGTCCGATTTCTGATATGTTACTGACTTCAATACCAATACCGATATTAGATTGGATCTGTCTCATCTCTAACAAGTATGCAAACAAATACAACTTAAAATCTCTCACCTTCTTCTTTAAAATAACAAATCTCTCCAAAGCTCTTAAATGTAAATCGATATTATTATAAAGTGCAGCTATCATATGTGTTCGATATGAATTAATATAAGTTTTAATTTGTTGCATACTTGAATTTTTTTTAGGCTTTTCACGCATATACAACACACACCTGCATGGACCCACCTTCCTTTCCACAGAGATACAGGCATATAAATGTAATTGTCCCCATACAAATAAAAGACTGCATGCATAAAAACTCCTCTCTTCCATAACAACGTCATAAACGTCATGAGGTTTCATAATGACTTTAGAAATCCTTTAATGCTTCCCCGCAGAAACTGAATAAAAGAACAACAGACACTTATTTGTGTTTCATATCTCCGAGCACTGCTTTCAGATAAACTCGTATGGTTGAAATATCTCATTTCCAGAAACGTGTGGACTCTGCCTCTAATGGGATGTCAGTGGGCCAGCTCCATAAAAATGACACCTGCACTGATTTGCAACTTGGCAGAGCCATGTAAGTTAGTAAATATTGATTTTACTGTCCATAAGCACCGGAACGGCACAATGTGAATTATATTTTGGGTGTAGTTTTCATTTCAAATAAGCACCGGCAAGAGCAAAGCAAAGCTAGAGTAATAATCTTTAAGTAATGAGATCTGTTGTTTACATTTTAGATTGTCATGAGTGATGTCATTGATTCCCCCCCCCTCCCCTCCCCTTCCCCTGGGACTCACTTTTAGATGAAGAAAGAAATGCAGTTTGCTAACTATTAAATTTACAATGGTTTGATTTTTATATTCGGATAAATAATAGTGCCATGTAAGAGCGCTAAACCGGTGAAAGTAAAGTCAGTCAATCTTTTGCATTTCCCTAAAGGTTTCTAGAGGTAGGCTATACTAATAGAAAACGGGGATTATTCTAATTTACTATGTTTTGTTTGTTTCAGAGGCCTTGGTTAGACAGCAAAGTTAATTTGCCAGATACAGCTTGGTTTCCCAACTGGTCAGTTTTTAATTACCTTTCAGTGAAATTCGTTATTTCTATTTTGCGGTCCTCGTGTGTTTCCGCGCTGTGAAATTGTTTAATGCAGGTGTTGTGCCGAGAAATGCCATAGACTGTAAATACAGCTTACTGTTGATATTTACAGTGTATGTGTTAAATACAGTATGAGATGAGAGAATTGAGAATATGAGAATTGTATGAACCTCCAAAGACAAGGCATAATAAGACACAATTTCTACACTGCCAAATTTTTGCATCCACCCTTAAAGAGGACATATTACACCCTCTTTTCTACCTTTTCAAACAGCCCCCTGTGGTCTAAATGAAACCTCTGTGCTGAGCGTTGGTCAAAATATAACATGAATCAAGCACCAGAGGAGGTTTGTGACCCTGTGTAAACCAGCTCTCTCAGAACGAGTTTTCCCAGTAGACATCACTCCATAGCAAGCGAGAATAAAAACGGCGGACCTGCTCAAAAGTTTTTTAACCAGAATCCCACTGTGACATCACAAGGAGAGCACATTTGAAACAGAGTATTTTTCTCTGTGTTGTAAGACTTATGCAGACCACAAACAAAGGACTGGATGGATTTGTTTCACATTTTGTGGGCCGGTAGACACTCAGGTTACCAAAATATATGCTCAAAAACACTGTAAATGCGGATTTTTCATAATATGTCCCCTTTAAATCTACTCAACAGACACTTCAGATTCAAACACTGTTTAGCCTACATGTTGCATTCACGCAGGCTGATGAAAAATGCTTCTTCTACCCACAGAACAATAAGGACACTTCACTTTACAGAAATAACCTTTTTAATACCTATTTAAACAATCCGTTTTCTACGATTTTTTTTTTTTGGGATGCATTTCTCGACACAACACCTGTTCTGTAAAGTTTCAGTAATTTTGAACAGGCAGAGTTGTGGCCACCTCAGTTGGCTGACAGGACCCTCCCACTCCCAGCAGAACACAACATGAATGCAGGAAGCTGCGGAGCCGGCTTCGGTGAGTATTAATCATTCATTCTTTACGTGCTGATACTAATAACCCAAAATATAAATGACTGATTGTTGTCGTAATTTAGACTCTGCAACATTTGACTGTGAGCAACATCCGGGTGTTTGTTCGTGTGTGTTGGAAGCTTAAGCTAGCTCCTGCGTCTTTTTTTGCTAGCAGGTAGCTTCAGCCAACAGTTCAGGGGCTCTGAGTGTCGGTGTGTCGGTGTGTCGGTGTCGGACATTTAAGATGCTTAAGCTGTCAAAACCTTCATGAATCATAATGTTTTTTTTTACAATAGGCAGTTGGTTGGGTGTAAAGGATCGTGATGTACAGCTCATGGGGATTGTCATTGAAGTAGTCCGGATGTGAAAGCTGTGCTCTCATTGGACGAAGGAGCCACGCTGAACTTTCCTATTGGACAGAGTTCATGAAGCTTTTTGTTTACCTGCTGAAAAAAAAAAAAAAAAAAATCCCAAAACGAGCGACAAAAACATCATCATACGGAAGAGGATTAGGGCCACACACAAAAAAAACAATAGAGTTCAGAGTTTAAAGTCAGAATTCAAAGTTTAAAGTCAGAATTCAGAGATTAAAGTCAGAATTCAAAGTTTAAAGTCAGAATTCAGAGGTTAAATTCAGAGTTTAAAGTCAGAATTCAGAGTTTAAAGTCAGAATTCTGAGATTAAATTCTGAGTTTAAAGTCAGAATTCAGAGTTTAAAGTCAGAATTCTGAGATTAAATTCTGAGTTTAAAGTCAGAATTCAGAGATTAAATTCAGAATTCAGAGATTAAATTCTGAGTTTAAAGTCAGAATTCAGAGTTTAAAGTCAGAATTCTGAGATTAAATTCTGAGTTTAAAGTCAGAATTCAGAGATTAAAGTCAGAATTCAAAGTTTAAAGTCAGAATTCAGAGATTAAAGTCAGAATTCAGAGGTTAAATTCAGAGTTTAAAGTCAGAATTCAGAGTTTAAAGTCAGAATTCAGAGTTTAAAGTCAGAATTCTGAGATTAAATTCTAAGTTTAAAGTCAGAATTCAGAGATTAAATTCAGAATTCAGAGATTAAATTCTGAGTTTAAAGTCAGAATTCAGAGTTTAAAGTCAGAATTCTGAGATTAAATTCTGAGTTTAAAGTCAGAATTCTGACTTTAAAGTCAGAATTCTGAGATTAAATTCTGAGTTTAAAGTCAGAATTCAGAGATTAAAGTCAGAATTCAGAGTTTAAATTCAGAGATTAAATTCTGAGTTTAAAGTCAGAATTCTGAGATTAAATTCTGAGTTTAAAGTCAGAATTCTGAGATTAAATTCTGAGTTTAAATCAGAATTCAGAGATTAAAGTCAGAATTCTGAGTTTAAAGTCAGAATTTTTTTTTCATGTGTGGCCCTAATTCTCTTCCGTATCATCACCATTGCAGTGCGAGTGTACTTAGAGGAACCTAAGTGTTGCCCTTCATCCTCATTCCGGCTTCGCTGCCTTTCCTCCCCTTTTAGGTCCAGATAAATGGTAAAGACTGGGCGAGGGGGGGGTTGTTAGGGATTAACCTGAGAGTGCTTCACATAAGGGGCAAAGATTGCTGTTGGGCCTATGGTTGGTGATGTCAACCCAGTTGCCCCATGACGATGTCCAGAATGAACCACAGGGATTTGTGACGTCACGCGTGTTTAAACACAACGTAGCACTTATTAAAGGCTTGATGTCATTAACATCGGGTGGGGCTTAATAAACACTAGGGATGTTATGATTCACTCAACTCAGGATACCATTCACAGTACTGGCTTCACGATACGATTCTCTCACAATTTATTTCACAAAATTGTGGGGCGGCAGTAGATCAGTCTGTAGGGACTTGGGTTGGGAACCGGAGGGTCGCCGGCTCAAGTCCCGGTGCAGACCAAATATGGAAGTTGGTCTGGTAGCTGGAGAGGTGCCAGATAGCTTCCTGGGCACTGCTGAGGTGCCCTTGAGCAAGGCACCAAACCCCCTACCCACCACCAGCTCAGGAGCGCCATGTCCAAAGGATCCTGTTTGTGTGTTCATGACTTACAGAGTGTAAAAACAGAATTTCCCCTTGCAGGATCAATAAAGTAAATCTTAATCACAAAATGAGACTGTAGACAAATGATGACCTACAACGATTCCTTTAGGGGCTGCTAACCCGCTTGTCAGAGTGGTTTGACCCTTTAATGTTTTGTTTTCTCTTAACAAAGGGAGGTGATTGGAGCTTCTCCTTGTGGTGTGGATTAAATGCTGCACCATGTTGGTTGTGTAGTTTGTGTAGTTCCCCATCTTCCTGCAATATTTGTACACAGTTTTTGTCTCGTCTGTTATCTTCTCACCTCTTTCATTTTCTGTCTCGGGGGGGAAGCCAAAATGCTTCCATTGGAGCTTCTCCTTGTGGTGTGGATTAAATGCTGCACCATGTTGGTTGTGTAGTTTGTGTAGTTCCCCATCTTCCTGCAATATTTGTACACAGTTTTTGTCTCGTCTGTTATCTTCTCACCTCTTTCATTTTCTGTCTCGGGGGGGAAGCCAAAATGCTTCCACACTTCCGATTTAAAAGACGGTGGTGCGTCCTCAATTTAAAAATCTTGTTCTGCAGCCGCCAACCGCCTCTGCTCTACAGCTGCTGACGCTCACCATATTAATGCGAGTCATTTTTCAGAGTACCGATGTGAATCTTGTCACCTTTGGATCGATTTATCACGATTTTACGATTAATCTTTACATCCCTAATTAACACATATTGTGACTTATTAAACGCCAGATGGTGTTTCATGGTGCTCTGGGTCACCCAGCCATGTACAGATCAGGGATTCACTTTTTCAAATTGCGTAAAGAAGACCGCCTAAAGCATCTCCAGAAGGGCTGCTCGATTTCTGACAAAAATCATAATTATTATTAATTTGACTGATATTGAGATAACAGATATTAAACACAAATACTCATTGTTTTTACAACATTTGCAACAAATGCATTCATAAAACATCCAAAAAAACAAGCATTAAATTAAAATAGATACATGAAAAAAATCTAAATTAATGGAGATAAATCTACAATGTTTTGTGGTAGTTGTGATCTACTCTTGTAGCAAAAATATGAAAGAACACATTTAAAGATTTACAACACGTAACAAACCCTTTAGCGTAAACACAAGCGTAAACACAGCATGCGCCACAATAATCCTTTAATCTCGATTAACTTGATTTTCATGATCATGCGAAGCCAAAATCGTAATTGAGATTGAAACTCGATGAATTACCCAGCCCTAATCTCCAGTCAGTAACCAGCTCTGATCAGATGGTTTCCATCTACCCCTCATGTTTCATCAGAATTTGTAATGTAAGCTATTGCATTCCTGTTCCTATTATAATGTCTTATCTTCTACTCACTTGCTGCCTAACTCCTTGACTCTACTCTTCATTCAGGTCTAGACTCGAGGATGTGGCTTCTGTGTGTCCTGCTGCTGTCACTGCTCTCCGCGGTGTCTGCGGGTGCGGACTCCAAGGCTGTCACCACAACACTCACGACCAAATGGGCAGACACTCCTCTGCTGCTGGAGGCCAGGTACACCAACAGTGATTTTTTTATTTTTAGATATTATATTAATTCATCTTCTGAAGGCCTGTAGAGTCATAACTGATGTGAGTTTAAACTTCTCTGCTCCCTTCATGTGTCACTGAACAAAGTTATGCTGTCCTGTGTACTATGACAGACAGTGTGCTCTGGCTTTTGGCAAGCAACATTTATGAATGAAGAAGTAGCTTTTTATTTTCTACAGACATTGTGATGGAGAGTGTCACATACACAGCTGTATTTAACTGCTGCACTTCATTGTCTTCCCCCCTCAGCGAGTTCCTGGCAGAGGAGAGCCAGGACAAGTTCTGGGACTTTGTGGAGGCCAATCAGTCCATAGAGGGAGAGCATGACGGTACAGTAAAGCTGCTCCTGCAACCCTAGACCCGGTTTCACTTTAGTCTCTCTTTTGCTACAAGCAGCTGAATTTATGATGCCTGTGCAAGCCCTTTGGCAGCAATTGCAGTGTAAGTGTTTTGGCCAAACACTTATGTAAGCAATAACAGGATAGAGCAGAGCTGCAAACTGTACTTCAGATCTGTTCACCTGAGTCTCTGCTTGTGTTCAAACTGTTAGAACAGACCCAGTGAAGCAATGCTAAGCAGTGAACGAAAACATGTTTAACACCACAATGCTGTTTGCTCTTATGATGTTCATGCAGACACAGATCAGGCCTACTATGACCTAATCATAAAGAGAGCCAGCGCCCTGCTCAGCTCCGTCCAGGTGAACATGCTGAAGTTCGCCCTCTCCCTGAGAGCCTACTCTTCAACAGTCCACTCCTTCCAGCAGGTACAAAGCTGATGCTTTAATTATGTTTTGTTCTTGAAGGGTTTGGCGTGCATCTAAGGGAGTATCATATTTTTCTAAATGTGCTTTTCTTTTCTTTTTCAGATAGCCTCCAATGAGCCTCCTCCCTCTGGCTGCTCAGCATTTTTCAGCGTCCATGGAGAGAAGACGTGCGATGCAGAAGGTTTAGAAGCACTGCTGAAAAGCGCTGCACAGAGGTAATAAAAGATGAAAACAGCTCAGACGTGATAAACCAGCAAATACAACTTTTAAAATAACACACTGTCTTCTTTCAGGCCAAAGCCATTTCTTTTCAAAGGTGATCACAAGTACTCGGGATCAAACCCAGACGCTCCTGTTGTCATTCTGTACGCTGCGTTTGGGACGTCGGATTTCCAGAGGCTTCATGGAGTCATAACCTCCAAAGTCTACGAAGGCCTGGCGACCTACGTGCTCCGCCATTACCTGGCTGTAGGTTTTTTTTCTTTCAGTCTTGTAATGAGAAAGACATTAAACAGCAGATGCATTTGAGCTGGGGAAAAAACAAGTCCACGCATTCACATAAACATTATACATTCTAGAAAGATTTCTTCTCCCCTCATCTGTGAATACGATGAAACAGACTTTTAAACTTATAATTATGCTAAATTATTCTCACCATCTGTTGGTTCGGTACAGAGTTCTGGGCACCAGAGAGGTTGTAACATTTGAACACTTTTTTCTTATTCAACGCCTCTGAGCCAATCAGAGTAGAGTCGGTGTCTTCAGCACTTACCGAGCAACAGCTGGTTGTCTGTCCTTGAAAGTTGTGGATGTAGTCGCTACGAAAGCAAATAAGGGCATTTTATAACAGAATGTGAACAAAAGAATACAGACAAGTTAAAAGAGCGTTTTCTGCCTGCAGAAGCCGCTGCTATATTTTTTTTATCTGCATCATACACGTATAGTCCGTCAGTGCGGCAGACCGTGTGAGCGCTGTCAGACGAGTTCAAGAGAAACAACGTGGATGGAGACACTTCTGCCTCTCATCTGTTTTTCTCTCCTTCACTCCAGAAACCGAGTGGAAGGAAAGTCTATCTGTCCGGGTATGGAGTAGAGCTAGCCATCAAAAGCCAGGAGTACAAGGCAAAGGACGACACTCAAGTCCAAGGTATACACACACACACACACACACACACTCACGCTATTGATATGCGCATGCCCTCCATGCTGAAATCCCAGAGGAGTCCTGATGTGAATAACGAGTTAATTGATCGTGGTTTCAGGCGCGGAGGTGAATGCTACAGTGATCGGAGAGAACGACCCAGTGGACGAGGTCCAGGGCTTCCTTTTTGGCAAGCTGAAGTGAGTGACTTTGTGTCAGCCAATGATACAAAATTCAAAGCTTGGATCAGCTCCAGGAACCGCACCAGGCTCGCATCAGCCAAGCTTTTCTTTTTTTTTTTCTCTCTCCAGTTTATTCCCTCAAAGCATTGACCACAACCTCTTTTTTTGAATCTCTGATCAACTAACCTTAAAATAAACAAATCAATCTGTTTGTCCGACACACTCACTCTTTGTTTTGTCTTTTACCCAGGACCCTTTATCCAGAGCTGAAAGAACAGTTAAAGGAGCTGAGGAAACATTTGGTAGAAAGCACAAATGAAATGGCCCCTCTGAAAGTGTGGCAAATGCAAGGTGAGTCTCTTCTCTGTCTCCTCAGTTATTCTTCTGTTTCCTACTTTAACATTGGAGCTGTTGATAAAAACAGCCTGGGTGTGTTTGCCTGTTTGGTTTTACTCATTAAGTTTTACTTAATGAACTTAACAGCAGAGTTAGATACCCATTTATCTTTTTTCTTCAGCGTATCCAGAGCAGTATAAACAGATATTAGCTCTATTCAGACTGCTGTTTTAAGCCGTGATATTTACACCCCTGAGACGTTTCTCCTTCAGTCTGAATGTCTCTGAGGCGTAATGGGGGGACGAAGTAATCCCCCCTCTGTACCGTCGTCTTAGGTAGTAACAGAGTTGATAGAGGCGAGAAGGTCTCATCTGAGCCAGCAGGGGGAAAGCAGCGCTGTTGAATCAGTATGAATGTAACAAAAACGTGGAACGGCCTTGCTTAGTCTGAAAAGGGCTGAAACAAATACATACAACTATCACAGCTCACATTTTGACAGGCTGACAAAAAAAATCTAAACTGTGAAACCCTCTGAGCGTGCATCAAAGCTAAAAACTCCCTCCGCTTCTTGTTAATACCGGCAGGCTTTGTTCCTGTCACTTAGATTGAGAGGAGATCGATTCATGACGCAGTAAATATGCCTTCCGGACTCAGACGGAGCTCTGGGTCCATTTAGTCTGAAGCTCCAGGTGATAATTATCTAATGGCAGAAATCGCAGATCTTCATCCCCATCAAAATGTAATCAATCGGTTTTCAAAACCAATTAGATGTATCAATCTGTGTCAGGACAGTGGATAGAGTTAAAAATCAGGGACAGAGAGAGAGAGGGATGACATGCAGGAAACGAGCCACAGGTCGTATTTGAACCCGGGGCGTCCCGCTTGGAGGACTATAGCCTCTTTTCATGTGGCGTATGCACACTAGGCCAGTGATCATCACCTGGCGGCCTGCGGGCCAGTTTCCCATCCCGCCCCCAAAATATAAAAGATCTCTGGTGATTAAACAATAGTCATAAAATCCCGAGGCTGAACTACACGCATCAGGTGAATTTAAATTCTTCACATTTGGCTTTACATGCAACATATTTTAAAGTCCGGCCCCCCGCAGTGTCTGTATGTATAAATAGTTGATGGCCCCTACACCAACCTACCAGCGCTCCGGCTGTTTCTTTAACTAAATGACAAACATAAAAATGATGCTTACATGTCAATGCATGAGTAATAATCATATTCTATTATATTGAACACTACAACAAGAGGACTTTTTAGCAGTTAATACTAAATGTTATATTTTAAGGAAACTATCCTTTTTTAATGTAAGATGTTTAATTGTAATTAATGTAAGAAGGGAAGACTACCTGTTTGTTACTTTAGCTTAACGTGCTGTAACACTGGCAAAAGTGAAGAGAAGTAATCAAGCAAGCAAAAATAAATAATTGTAGTTACTCAAAAATATCTGCTTAATATAAGAAAATAACAAAACCAAATAAGGTGATGTCTGCAAACACCTGAGTGAGTTGTATTCATCGTGCAGAGAAAGGGAATATGTGAAGGTGTTATCGCTTCTTTCAAGTAACAACGTCTGGCTTAAAGGAAAGATTAGAATGTGTTTAAAATGATGCACAAAAGATTGAAAAATCCAAAAACTTCCATTAGCGCTTCAACGAGTTTATACAGACTGCATTATGATAACATCCCAAAGTGATAATTGGGTTTTAACAAGAGAAAAGCTGAATGATAAGGTGTTAACTAAACAAGAACAAACTAGCTGATTTCAGGGAGTCAAAAATATGCGCATAAAAACTTCAACAAAATCTTCGTTTTTCTTTGTAATATCTGCAAGACAATTTAAATCCACATTGAAGGAATCTATTGTACATGATGTTTCTTCCGAGGCCGATATCAGCCGCGATCAGCTTCATTCTCCCGCGACCCCGAACAAGAAAAGCCGTAAAGATAACGGATGGAAATGTTGTAAAAGCATTTACTCATCATTCCCCAATACAATGAAGCGCTGAACTTTAACTCCAGAGAGAGAATTTACATCTCTGTTGTGGATGTGCCGTCGATTCGGATGTTTCATTAGTTTGATTTACTCCACTGACGAGCACGTCATCAATAAATAAACTGAGATGATTATTGGCGTCTGCCGCTATAAAAGTCCATCTGTGAATCAGACCTGCAGAGTAAAATGTATTTGTCTAGTTCTTCAATCGATGACGGCGGTCGATCAGCGTCTCCTTGATACATTTCAGCCGTAATATGAAGTTATGATGTCACATTCTGCTGCAACATAAAAAAAAGCATCATCGATTAGAATGACATCATCTGTTTCATGACTTACTCAGACACACTTTTAAAACCCTTCAGAGTGTGCCTTTTGAATCGAATCCATTTTATATGAATATCACCAACAGTTAACTGTCTGTTTGTTTTATTGTGTGCGTTAAATTCTGACTTCTGCAACAAGGCTGCAGGGCATGGTCAGGATTCTCAGCCTGCTTTCACTGTGTTGAATAAAGGATGCGAGGGGGTGAGAGAGTCGGTTCAGCTCCACTGTCGGTCTGTCATGTGGGCGTCCGTCTTTATCTTCCGGCCCGCTGGGGCTCATTAGCTCAGCCTGTTTACAAAGAGATGGAGACCTCCAGGGGCTAATAATCACACAGGCTACAACACCATTACTGAGATGTTCACTGCACTGAAATAATCCTCACTACACTCTTCATCTCCTAGAAAGCAGAGGCTCTAAATGGTCTCGCACAGTGTCAGTGCTTCTAAAGAATTTCTTCATGAATTCATGCCTTTATATACTCTCGTCTATAATCTTTAGTCCTGCCTTAAATCCTTCAGATTCTTTGAGATAGTTTTAATTAAAGCCTCAGATGTGAAGACAGGCATGTTAACATGGTATTAAATGCTAATTATTGGTTTAATTAGCTTAACTGATGACTTTCTGGTCCACACTTGCAACATGACTCCGGGGATTGGGAGTGTCAGACTGAAGCTGCAGCATCTGGCTCCAGAATCAAAATGTCTTTAACAACAACGAGATCGATCTCTATACTCACGGTGCAGATACTCACAGTGCCCATGCAATTCCTGTTAATGTTTTTTCAACATATTTTTATTAAAACAAGTTCAAGACATACAGTGCAATTGGGATGCAGTCGACATTTCCCCAGAAACATTCAAAAACCCAGTATCACTTCTCCCTATAAACAACCCTCCCAGTCCAACAAATAGACCCCTTAGTTAAAAGACAAGAATAAAAGTGCAAGTGTGGAAAACTCACAAAAAATCAAATACAATAACTAAGTAAAAATAAATAGATAAGCGTGAAAAAATAAAAGTACATTTGAGAAGAGTAGTATCAAAAAAAAAAAATATAATAATAATACAAAATGACAAGACAAACATAAATAAAAAATGAATGAACAAACAACATTAACAGGAATGAAAGTAAATAAGAAAACAGTCAAAGTCATCTTTATTGTCAATATTTTTCATACGTGCTGGACATACAGAATAAAAACCAAAATAAATGTTTCTCTCCGAACCACGGTGCAAACTAAGTATAAAAAGATTTAAAAGAGAGAGAGAGAGGATGGAGAGAGTGCGGGAGTAGACTGCTCCAGGATGGTTGGTGGCGGTTCACCGTTTAGAGCTGGTGGGGGGGCCAGGGGGTGGAGGAGAGGGGAGAGAGTTCAGCTTACTCTTTAGACTTTAGAGGTTCTCTGACTCTGTTACAGCAGTTTATGTTGCCCTCAGGATAAAGTGCAATAACTGTAAAATATGTCTTTAAAAAAGAAAAGCTCCATAATTTGGCCGTATGGACCACATGGCGACAGTCAGAAGTTTTCCTCTGGTAAGTGTTACATGCTGTAACTGCCTCCTTAACCAACATAATCAAATGAAAGCTCAAAACATGGAGACCAAAAACGTTTAAGGACGCCACAAAGATTTTTATTTTGGCTTTTTGTGCCTTTTTATTTTGGAGATGGGACAGTGGATAGAGTCGGAAATCAGGGAAAGAGAGAGCGGGGAATGACATGCGGGAAAGGAGCCACATGTCGGACTCGAACCCCGGGCCGACCGCCTGGAGGACAACAGCCTCCATACATGGAGCGCACACACTAACCACTGCGCCACCAGCGTCCCACACCACACAGATTTAAAGTGTAGCCCCCAAGCGAGTAATTGTAGCCTTTTTTCTTCTATAAAACATGGTACGTTAACTGATCATCATTGCAGCACCTCTAAGCTGTTCAACTAACTCCTCGCCTTTTGTTCTTTTAGACTTAATGCTTCAGATTCTTTAGGCTTAAGGGGTTACCTCTCTGTGAGTTTATTCACAGAAAGTCCAGACTCTTAACTCTTGCTCATACTGCCTTTTCTATAGAAGGCTGTTTTTTTTCTTTCTGTGCTTCTCTTTCTCGGTACCCTCTTGTGTGTTTGCTCATCTCCTATCCGCTTCTGTCCAATCACCTCTTTCACATATTTTGCCCTCTTTGCCTTCCTACCAATCCGCCCACCTTTTTTTTCTCTCTCTCTCTCTCTCTCGCTCTCTCTCTTTCTCTCTCTCTCTCTCTCTTACAGATCTGAGTTTCCAGACGGCAGCTCGCATTCTTGCTGCTCCCGCTGCTGAAGCCCTCAACGTCATGAGAGACCTCAGTCAGAACTTCCCGACAAAAGCCCGGTAAAGAAGAAAGCACACGAACATAAAGTTTTTGATTCACAGATGTATGAAGAAGTCTGCAGTTTTACAGCTCCTGTCTGGCCTCCTCCCCCCCAACAGGTCCATCACTAAGACTGTGGTCAACTCTGAGATCCGCAAAGAGATTGGAGAGAACCAGAAGGTATACTGTATACTTTTACTCATGCATTCATCTCTCAGGGCGCACACACACGAGGCATAGGAGTCCTGTACCGCCCCCCCCCAGTGCGCCCTTAGTTTGTCATTAATCAAACCTCTTCCTCATTTTGTCTGTGTGACAAAAGTTGAATGAAAAATCAAAAACCATCAAAGTGTTGTTGCGTCATGTTTCCCTCTAACTCATCATTTCCTGCTGAGATGTAGTTCTATAACAACGAGTCAGAATTGAGTTCATACAGAAAAAATAAGAAAGTAATTTCCTCAAACAGCTGGACCCTGAATGTCTATCAATTGACTCTAAACAAGAGTTTGAATTAGATCTGTCGGGAACTATTTTCACCTAAAAAATGTCTTTATACCTCCTTTGTGCTCGAGTGAGAAATGACAGCAGCGTGATCTGATGGAGGGTTGACTGAACTTCAGTCAAGTACACAAATGCAGGATACTGACAGCATGATTGCTTACAGCCTGGAGTCTAGAGCCTTACTGGAAGCTCAATGTTAACTGGCCCAGCAGACAAATATTGTACACTGTTTGATAGCATAAAGGTTAGGATGCAGTGATGTTGAATCCTTTTTATTTGTATTTATGTGGACAGACATTTTTAATTCTACACATTTAATGTCCATTGCAACATTCTTCTACCTTGTTTTAATCAGCGTTCTGGTGCTCTTCCCTTCTCGTGGTCGGGGATAATTTACATTTAGCTGTTTTCCTTTTCTAATCCAATCAAAGTAGAAAATAAAGATTTCCTTTTTTGCACCAACCACAACCCCGCCGCCTCTTAGCCGTCTTCAGGGAAACATCACAAATGAGAACTTCTCTTCCTCTTTTTTTCCTTTGTTTTGTTCTCTCGCCTTTTGTTCCATGATAAACTGTGAACATCATCTGACTTGAAAAGCATTCAGTGTCTCACAACGTTGTTTGGCTTTCCCTCTGCTAATAGAAGGAGTAATCATCCTTTTATTTTCTTGTTGAGTATTTTCGCACTCCACCTCCTCCTCCTCCTCCTCCTCAAGCTGTGCTCACATTATCTCGGTGTGCAGACAGGAGTTTGGGTGGGTGGCAGAGGTGAGCGGCAAACGTCCTAATTACTGAATCGGTGATTCATTTGACGGGCGCGCTCGGTCCTGCAGCGAGAAAAGATTATTGATTGAAGCAGTTTGGACACATGCGCTTGCATACAGACATCTCCCTCTCTTTCTCTCTCACACACACATTCACACACTCACACACACTCACACACACACACACACACACACACACACACACACACACACAGAAACACTCACACACACTCACACACGCTCACAGTTTAAGTGGGATGAACAATATTTGTGTTAATCACGTCGTATTGTAATACCTAATTGCAGTGTCTGGAGTATGATTAATCTGATGTCTTTGTCTCTCTGTAATGAGATTTGACGGCACCAGAACGACTTTGAGCATTCTTATTTTGCCTGTGCAGACACTCGCATGACTTCTCACAGCGGTGCCACACACTCTTATAATTAGATTTGTGTAGTGCGGGGTTTGATTGCTCTCGTCTAAACAGACTGATTTTTAAACAGGGCTGTCACTGCTCGTTTGGAGCAGAAGACGAACCTCGTTATACGGCCACGTGTTTGACTGTTGCCTCTAGTTCTACGTTCTAATTGACTTCAAGAAGGACCAGATTTGACGTAATGTGCAACACAATAATGGGATCCGACCAGCTGAGGAGTGTTTAGGGTTTGATGTGAGCAGGATGTTTAGTCACAGTGATGTTTTTCTCTTCACAGTTTTTCAAAGGGACTCTGGGCCTGCAGCCTGGAGATTCAGCTCTGTTCATCAACGGGCTGCATATAGATCTGGACACACAGGACATCTTCAGGTACACACACACACACACACACACACACACACACACACACACGGTATGTTATACAAACGTGGATGCCCTGATGAAGCCATGCGGCCGAAACACGTTGTTTGTTTTGAGTATGTAATTAAATAAAAATAAGTAATTCAGCCTTCATGTGAGCGGTGAATCTTCTCATTTGCTGTCAAGATAATTTATATTTAATTAAAATGATGTTATTACATGTTGCCTGGACTTGAGGCCTCATGGAAACGTTTGCAGGCAGTGTTTAGTAATTCAGGATGAGGCTGACATGATTAAAGTACATAAAGTATCTGCAATCGACCTGGCACAGACGTATTTATAAAGACATGAATGACCTGATTATGTCACAGAAAATGACAAGAAATTGTTCCAAACTAACAATTATTTTATTTTGATTTGTTCAATTTTAAAATGTAATCTGTGAAAAGCAGATTTCTTGATTTTCAAATATTTTCTAATTTATTTTTAAGAGAAAAAAAAAAGAAATCGATTTCTTTAATTACGTTTTTTCTGTCTAACTAACAACACATTAAAAACACACCAGCCCTCAGGGCCCCTTGTCGTGTGTGGCTGGTAAAATGATGATTTGTTAAACATAATAGAAAATGATTGAATGATCTGTTGAAGATTATTGACTAATAATTGAAGCTCTGCAGACATGATCATGATGACTCGAGTATCAGGGTTGTTTCTAATTAATTTTCCTTTGATTAACTAATCAGTTCATTAAAGCACCATTTTTTTCATTCAAATGATATTTCTAGACTCTGATTTGCAGCGTTGTGTTATTAATGTTTGTTTTGACATGTTTTCATATTTAAAGGTCACATATTATCCTCTTTTTCAAAAGTTTAAAAAAATCTCAGAGTCCCCAAAACATGTCTGTGAAGTTTCTCGTTCTAAATCCACTCTGATCCTGTATTTGATCATGCTTATAAACCCCTCTATTTCAGCCCTGCTCAGATCAGGCTGTTTCTGTGTCTGTAGCTTTAAATATGTAAATGAGCTGTGTATGACCACGCCCCTCTCTAGAAGCGGTAGGGTGGCTTGGGTTCTCCTGCTCTACTTTGATTTCAGTACCTTTTCCTCTGCAGTGTGTTTGAGGTGCTGCGCAGTGAGGCGAGGGTGATGGAGGGTCTGCGCTCCCTGCACATCGAGACCCCGTTCATCCACGACATCCTGAAGCTCAACGTCCAGCCCTCAGACTCCGACTATGCTGTTGACATCCGCAACTCTGCCATCAGTGTAAGAAAGTGACAACAGTTTAATGATAACAGTTTAAATACTCATCTGAAAACTTCTGAAAAGATGAGTTTGTGGATGTTTCTGTGGTGTTGAAAATAAATGAATGTTTCATGCAGTTGAGTCAAGATGATTAATAGATCAATGTTTTGATAGAAGTGTACACAGATGTTTCATTAAATCAATCAACAGTAGAACTTTAAATACCGCATACCACTTTAAGGAGAATAACGAGTTTGTTTTATAGAAATATACAAAGTATAGAAATACTCTTTACGTAGAACAGCCCTCTCACAGGAACATATTATTAGATTTAATTACTGTTGGGTTCTTTTGTTTATTTCTTAAATATTGCAGCTACTTCATACACTTCTTATGACAGGACATTAAAGTGTATCTAAATATGCAAGTAATACAAAGTCATCATGTAAAGGCAACAATATTACCTACCATCCAAAAAGCTGAACATTTCTCTTCTTAGACATTAAATAAACAAAAGATGAATGAATGACTTCATAAAGAAAAAGAAAATAATCGGTAGACAATGAAAATAAATGTTTTCTGCTACTCTAGTTCTGTGTAATTTGTAAAAGGTAATTTACTCATTGGCATGCGGCTGCTGCCAGGCTCAGCTTTCTTCTCTCAAACATGTTCTCCTTTTTCATTTTCCAGTGGATTAACAACTTGGAGACGGACCACAGGTACAGCTCGTGGCCGTATAACGTACAGGAGCTGCTCAGGCCCACCTTCCCAGGAGTCATCAGGCAGATCCGCAAGAACTTCCACAATCTGGTTCGTCCGTACCTGATTAATCACCGCCTGCAGAATCCAAATGTGTCTGCACCGTTGTGAAAAATACCAACCTGTGTGTGTGTGTGTGTGTGTGTGTGTGTGTGTGTGTGTGCAGGTGATCATTCTGGACCCAACTCAGGAGAACGCTGTTGAGCTGCTGAGTGTTGCAGAGATGTTTTATTCTAACAACATCCCACTCAGGTTAGTGTTTCAGTCAGCAGGGAGGTTTTGGTCTGTAAGCTAGACAAAAAGTCATCTAGTTATTTTTAGTAGAGATTTCATACATCGCATTATATACATCTTCTAATAAATGAAAAGTGAATTACATCAATGTAAGGACAGTTTATGTAAAAAACTTTTTTATGATGTCACAGTTTGTGAACAAGCAGAAAAATGTTTTTTTGTTTTTGTTATTAAAGATGCTGCAGTGCAGTTGTTTGGATGTGTGTTTATAAATCCATTTGAATTCAGTAGTTTTGTCAGGCAGGTTTGGTAGACCTTTGTTGTCTCCCTGCATGTGGCGTCTCGGGATGGTCAGTTTGTTTGAATACAGATGAAGCTCACAGCACGCTCTCTGCATTCTAACTGTCTGATATACATACGGGAGCCTGTTCATGAAACTTTATTCGGATCCTCTGCGTGTGTTTTTCTAGAATCGGGCTGGTGTTTGTGGTGTCCAATGAAGACGACGTAGACGGTATGCAGGATGCAGGCGTGGCGCTGGTTCGAGCTTACAACTACATCAGCGATGAGGTGGACAGTCAGAGTGCATTTGAAGCCGTCATCTCGGTGCGTGACCTCTCTCAAACAAAGACGATTCTTCTTCTTATTGTCTTAACGAGAATATAAAGTTTGACTCGAGTGACTCTGAAACGCTTGAGAACACCAAGGAGAGATTATTTAAAAGTTTGGTTTGTTTTGTCTTTCCATCTGCTAGATGTTCAACCGGGTCTCCATTGGTGGGAAGCTAAGTGTTGGGGATGTGGTGAAAGTGCTGGAGAAGAGGTTCCCTTACGTGGAGGTCAGCAGCGTCCTCGGAGCCGACTCCAGCTACGACAGCAACAGGAAGGTGAGGGGCTGAAACTGAACTTTAGTGTCCCAGTGGGAGATTTGCCTTGGACTTCTGATGCTGTAATAACATTTTAAAGTACATTCATTCATCAGTAAAACATGTCAGTTCAATAATCTTTAAATTATGTATAGAGCAAATGACTAAAAACATAAATATGTGATCATTAAGAACAATGATGAACAACTGCAGGAGAGACGGGTCTGAGATGATTTTTTGTGCCTGTCCGATAAGTTTACGAAAACACATTTTGTTTTCAGATGACTAAAAAAACTGAATGAGTAGGTTTATGTCAGGTGAGTATCTTATGTTCAAAACATAAACTATATGATACTGTATGTACATAGATGGATACTTTATTTATCCACTGGGGGAAATTCAGGTGTATCCCATAGCTCACACATAAGTTAAAATATTGAACAAACAGTGAAAAGTCACATATTGTGCAAAATACGCACATTTTTTGCTAACACTGATGTGTCCCTAGTCTGTCTACAATCCCCCTCATTATGAGATAAGTCCATCCTCTCTGCCTTTTGCCGGCTCCACTTTTCAGAAAATGTGTGCTCAAACAGGCCGTTTGGAGATGTTCCCTTTGTGACATCACAAAGGGCAGTAACCCCTCCCCCAGGTGGGCGACACTCCCACAGCTAGGTGTTTGTTCTGCCTTCTCACCGTAAACAATAGGGAACAGAGCAAGAACGCCTGAATTACGTCCCCTTCCAGAGAGGGGGCGTGGTCAGACACAGCTCATTTACATTTAAAGGTACAGACACAGAAACAGCCTGTTCTGAGCAGGGCTGAAATAGAGGGGTTTATAGACACGATCAAATACAGGATCAGAGTGGATTTAGAACAAGGAGCTTCACAGACATGTTTTTGGGAAGCTCTGAGACTTAAATTTGTAGAAAAGGAGGCTAATATGTGTCCTTTCATTTTAAAAACAGGACCACAAACAGAGTCCAGAATAATTAAAAACAGCATAGATAGAATGAACAGATAATTAAAGAGACTTTTCCTGGATCAGTTTTTGATTGATTATACTACAGAAGAAGAACAAGGTCTTTATTACGCCTTATGAGTTTTAGTTCCCTGAGGGCTCTTAATTTGGAGGAAGAATATTGCTGCAACATTTAAAACACACTCCAGATAACAGCATGGATCTTATTAAGTATCTTCTAAGACACAAATCATCTTCTCTCATCCAGCCATACATCTGATGTGGTTCAAGGCTGATGTAATTAGAAGCAACATGTCTCTGTGTCTTCTCTTTCAGGAGGGTCGGGCGTACTATGAGCAGACAGGGGTGGGCCCGTTGCCTGTGGTCTTGTACAACGGCATTCCGTACCAGCGGGAACAGCTGGACCCGGATGAACTGGAGACGGTTACCATGCAAAAGATCCTGGAGACCACCTCGTTCTACCAGAGGGCCGTCTACCTGGTCAGTCAGAGCCTGTTATCATAGTTTGAGTTTATTTGGCACTAAAATCAATTTTCATGCAGTTGAGTCATTATGAATTTAAAAAAACGGACTCTATGGAGACACAGATAAGTACTGAACACCCGCTGTGTGAAATCATCCAATAAATCCAGAATGCTTTGAAAACATTTCACAACAGACGCATTTACAACATTTCCCCTTCAAATTAAAAGTCTGTGCTTCTAGCAAAACAAAAAAATTTCTCAGTGAATAATCCCCTGTAGTGTTGTAATCAAGACCACACTAACCGAGACCAAGACATACCCGAGACCAGAGTCCTCCGAGACCGAGACAAGACCAAGACATTTAGGGACCGAGACTGTGTCTAGACCAAGACCAAGGCAGGGCGAGACCTAGACCAAGACCAAGACCGAGACATTTAGGGACCGAGACAAGACCAAGACATTTAGGGACCGAGACTGTGTCTAGACCAAGACCAAGGCAGGGCGAGACCAAGACCAAGACCAAGACCGAGACATTTAGGGACCGAGACTGTGTCTAGACCAAGACCAAGGCAGGGCGAGACCGAGACAAGACCAAGACCAAGGCAGGGCGAGACCAAGACCAAGACCAAGACCGAGACATTTAGGGACCGAGACTGTGTCTAGACCAAGACCAAGGCAGGGCGAGACCGAGACAAGACCAAGACCAAGGCAGGGCGAGGCCGAGACAAGACCAAGACATTTAGGGACCGAGACTGTGTCTAGACCAAGACCAAGGCAGGGCGAGACCTAGACCAAGACCAAGACCGAGACATTTAGGGATCAAGACCGAGTCAAGACCAAGACCAAGGCAGGGCGAGACCGAGACAAGACCAAGACATTTAGGGATCAAGACCGAGTCAAGCCCAAGACCAAGACATTTAGGTACCGAGACAAGACCAAGACATTTAGGGACCGAGACTGTGTCTAGACCGAGACCAAGGCAGGGCGAGGGCGAGACCAAGACCAAGACCAAGACATTTAGGGACAGAGACCGAGTCAAGACCAAGACCAAGGCAGGGCGAGACCAAGACCAAGACCAAGACCAAGACCAAGACATTTAGGGACAGAGACCGATACAAGACCAAGACCCAAGACCAAGGCAGGAGGAGACAAAACTGAGTAAAAATGCTTTCAATTCCCAGTCGAGACCAAAAGCGATTTCAAGTACTACAGCACTGCCCTGTGCGTTACCAACATCATACAACGACACATATTCACACGTGGTTATCTGAAAGTCTGAAACAGTGACAATAAGAATAACTTCACTTATAAAGCACCTTTAAAAACACAGGTAAACACATGTATTTAACCTAACCATCACAAGACGTCATCAAAGGAACCATCATAAGAACCCAACAACACGAGCCAATGGGTGTATTGTTTGTGCTAATGTGCATGACTTTTTTTTTCATGTGCTGGCACTGTTTCAAAACGGCGTTTAATTAAAAGGAAAATGAAATCATCAGATTAGCTTTAGATGTTTTTTGGGGGAGGAGAATTGTTTTTTTTCTCTTTTTTTTTTTTTTTTTTTTACGAGTACACAGTGTTGGATCGTAGTGAGAAATATTTTTGTCTGGTAAGCTTCATCTTTGTGTGAGTGTGCCATCTGCCATGTTTTCCTGTTTTAATGTCGTCCCAGCACTCAGAGCAGCCAAATGTTTGAGTTTTTATTGTTTTTTTTCAAAGGCTGTTGTGTAAAGTCTTAACAGCGAAGTAAGCAGTGTGTAATTTAGTTTCAACTCTAGTCCGGATGAAGGACATTCTGTTAGCTCTCACTTTCAATGTTTAACTCAAACTTGTCATTGGAGAACTTTTCCTTCAAAACACAAGTGACTTGACTGCTGTCTTTTCTGTGACTTTTAAAGATGAAAAGACACAGAGAAGCCCCCCCCCTGCCCCCCGGCATCATTTCTGGCTCTGCAGTATCAGTGAGGATTATCTGCTCTGAATTCTTACTTTAACATCTTGACTCTGTGATCTTGTGGCTCGCAGGGTGAACTGGCTACGGATCAAGACGTCGTGGACTTCATCATGAGTCAGCCCAACGTCGTTCCCCGAATCAACCCGAGAGTGCTCTCCACCAGCAGAACGTACCTGGACCTGTCTGACACCAGTGAGTACACAGTGTGGTGTAACCTGCTATGAATTAATCATTAGGATGTGGACGATGTTGTTGTTGATATTCAGACATTCAGTGAGGCTTGTCCCTCGTTACTTTTCATGAATCAAATTTCCACTTACAAATATCCATTTCAATATTCAGCAAATTAATTCAAGTTTGTATTGCAAATGTCCCAAAACTTCCATTGAAGGTTTTACTTTTTTTTTTGGAAGCTTCCATTTAAAATCCACTGAAATGTTCTGAAGTTTATTTTATTTATTTAAAAAAAATGCTTTAACTGATTTAAGTGTTAAGACAATCCAGGGACTGAGTCAATTACAGCGTACAAATATATATTTGACTAAATACCTCAACTATTATTCCCTACATGCTCAGCTTCACATCCCTCTATCTCTCTCTCCTTGCAGACAATCACTTCATCGACGATTACGCCCGCTTCTCGACTCTCGACATCAAAGAGAAGAGCACCGCCGTGGCCAACAGCTTGAACTACATGACCAAGAAAGGTAAAACAGTCCTGCGTGGTGACTGTTATTTATAGAACAAACGCTGAATGGCTGACGTTTCATTTCTTTTGTTTTCTAGTGAAGAATTATTGAATCATCCTAAACTCTTGGTGTATTCTCCCTCTGTCCTCTCCTCTTCCTCCTCCTCCTCTCCTTCCTCCTAATCATGCGATTTAAAAAAAAAAAAAAAAATGTACAGGGATGACCGCCACCAACAGGCATGGTAATCACCCTCTTCCTCTGCACCATTTCGCCTCTCCCTCATTTTGCTCTGATCTGTTTTCTGTGAACTCTTACTATCGCTGGCATTGTTTGAATCTGTTTGTGAATCCAGCATCGCGCCTCCATCTGTGCAGCATTTCTCAGAGGACACAAACGACTAATTCTCCGCATGTGACGATCGTAGTGTAGGCTCTGAAGTGTAACTCCTAATAAATGTGTTTACATAACTGCTCACTTCAGTTCTAACATTGTTTTCTTCCATCTGTAGGAGAGCATGGAGGTTCATTCTGTGCTGTTTGTTTTCGCTGCATGGAGGATACGTTGTTGAGAGTTTGATCTTTAGTTGTAGTAAACTCCACAGTGTAGTAACTTTCTTCATGCTATTCTTTTTTTTTCTTGCAGCCCAGTTTGCCACCCACATAGATTTTTATTTTTTTTACCCACTTTACCAAACTGTGTCTTCACTGCACACAATCTTTGAGTCATGAGCTCCTCTGTGTAGGATCATCTGAGTAATTTCACTGACAGGCTGTGTTTCTTCCTTTTTGTTGTCGTCAGATGACGGTTACACCCGCCCTGTGACCTTCTGGGTGGTCGGAGACTTCGACAAACCCTCGGGACGTCAGCTGCTTTATGACGCCATCAGACACATGGTACAAAAAAAAAAAAAGATTGCTTTGAGATGTTTCATGAGTCTTTAGAAGATGGAGAAATTCAAAGGAACAGAGTGACATTTTGGGGGAAACTCCAAATTACTGTCATGAAAATAAGATGATTCCACTTTTGATTCTTAAATATGACGCAGAGAGAAAGACATCTGTCTTAGCTTAGCTTAGCTTGAAGATCTGAAACGGGAACATCTAGCCTAGCTCTGTCCTAAATTACTCCTAACTGGAACCTGTAAAGAAATAAGGGATACGATCAATACGATACGATAAGCCTTCATTGACCCTAAAGGGATATTCATTCTTACAGATTCAGATTGATTCTACTGCAAGTCAGATATCAGATAAACATGCAACAGCACAACTATTTAACAGGTAAATTCTCATTTGTTTAATCTGAAAACAACAAAAGTAAAGAACCTAGGTTGTTGTTCCTGGAGTTACAGCTGCTCTGAAACACAATAAAGCAGTAGAAATACAGTTATTCTATCTATATGACTATGTTGTGTTTAAGAGCAGACTGAATTTCCCCCAGGGGATTAAAAAAGTATTCCTGAATCTGAATCTGAATCTGAGTCCTCACTGGTGCCTCAATGTGATGATTGAACCGCGGATGACTTGTACCAATGGGCCAAGAAAAAGCTCTGCACATCCGGTGTCGTTCTTACACTTCAGTTTTTTAAAGAACCTTCCTCAGGGGTTCTCTCACTTTTTTGGCTAGTTTACCCCCTTTCAGAATTTCTTTGAGCCAAGTACCCCTTTGTCCGGCCAAGAACATTTTTCAGGAAATAATTTGGGAAAAGAACATGAATAAATTGATGTGTGTGGTCTTCATACATTCATACATAATGCAAGCTATATTATAAATGAATATCCTCAAGTTGGAAATAGTGCCCTATTAAATGTTGTATAGAGAACATGTGCTGTTAATTAATTTGTTTTAATCAGTGAATGGATTTTCCTAGAAATCATTATATTTGTTTGTTGTGGTGCAACTTTCTTAAACGACATTTGTCACGTACCCCCATCTTAGAAACACTGCTCTAAAGCGCAGAGATATGAAATAGTGGTGTCTTATTCTCATCCAGCTCTATATAAGATATTAAAACAGTATTTCCCCAGAGTGTTCAACCTCCTTCAAGTTTTAGTTTGAAGCATTTAAAGATTTTTTTAATTCTAATTTAAATCAAAATAACGGCTAACACCAAAACTTAGATTAACTCCCATGTTTCTTTGAGTTTATTTGCTTTAATATTTTCTAAATGATAATTATTTAAACCGTATCATGTGACTCTGAAGGTAGTATTGTGGTGAGTCTGAACCTGATGAGTGTGGGTTTGTAGGCGTTATCATTAAAAAATGAACATATCGATTAGGAGTAGAATTCTGTTATTTTTTGTTACTTGTGAATGTGTTGAGATTTGACTGCTCTAACAAACCTTCACTGACGTTTTCCTTTTTCTACATCAGAAAACCAGCAACAATGTCCGCCTGGGGATGATCAACAACCCGTCAGACACTCCGTCCGAAGAGACGAGCCGCGTGGCCCGAGCAATCTGGGCCGCCATGCAGACTCAATCTGCCAACAACGCCAAGAACTTCATCACCAAGCTGGCTAAAGAAGAGACGGCTGCGGCTCTGGAGAAGGGAGTCGACATCGGAGAGTTCGCTGTCGGGGTGAGAGGCGACGATTGTGATTATTAAATGATCTCTCTGTTTTTGAAGCACTTTTTATCCCTTCTTTTCCCTTGATCAATTGCCTACAAGTTTGTTCTGTTGTCGCCTCAGGGTATGGATGTGTCATTGTTTAAGAGCGCCTATGAGGGTCATAAATATGACTTCCTGCTCTCCCACGCCGCCTACTGCCGAGATGTGCTCAAACTGAAGAAAGGACAGAAAGCAGTCATTAGCAACGGAAGAGTGAGTCACACTCTGGATTCTTATTGTTTCAAAAAATAATAATAATCTTACCCACACTGAAATGATAAATATACTTATCTTTTATGAATAAAGTAAATCAATACTTACCTTTTGTCTCCTGAATGCAGATCATTGGTCCTCTGGAGGAGGAGGAAGTGTTCAACCAGGATGACTTCCTGCTCTTAGAGAGCATCATCCTGAAAACATCCGGAGAGCGGATTAAAGGCAAAGTCCTGCAGTTTGGAATCGAGGACGACCGGTACTTTACCTCCCTTCATGACAAGCGTAGACTCTCTCAGTGTTGAACGTAGAATAGAAAAACAACTTGATTTGTCCATTATGTGGAGGATTGTCTTTGGCTTCACAAGAACAAAAACAAAAACATGAGGACAAACTAGAAAATATTTCAGGACAGTGAGAGATTAGAAGAGCACTTGGAGTCCTTGAAAACATCACCATCGACTCTGTTTGTAAATAGAAATCAGTGTTTAGCTCAGTGATAAGTTAGTTTTAAAAACAGGCATTTCATAATCCATTGTGCTGTTAAAGATGTCAGAACTTGGGGGAGGGGGAGTGGACTGTTTTTTGTTTTTACCCTAAGAATTGAATAACTTAATTCCGTTAAGGACAAATGGTTATTCTTTTTTTTTGTGACTCATGGCAGTCTGAAACACTTGACACCAGGAGTGCAATGGAGGAGCGGGGTCACTCGTTATGTCGAGTGCTTTCTTCTCAGTGTTCAGCTTTCACCTGTCATAAAGTGTCACCCTATGATTTTACTGGCTGTATTGACCTCTCTTTTTCCTCTTTCCATTTCACATCTAAGTGTTTGTACCATGCTACCACGTTAGAAGAGAAAATGCTTTCTACCAGATTCTTGTGAAACATTTCAAGAATCTTTTGACTCACCCTGAACTCATTTATCTTCCTGAGTAGGTGTAGCCTCTGCAGAGCTGTTTTAAAGACACAGTCTGTGAGGGAGAGTAATATTTGAGATTGCGCTGATTGTTTAATTTATTTTTTAATTAAAGTGATTTTTCTCTCAGGGCCAGCGACCTGGTGATGAAGGTGGATGCTCTTCTCTCCTCCCAGCCCAAAGGAGAGGCACGGGTTGAATATGACTTTGCAGATGATCGCCACAGGTAAAGATTTAATACTCGCACATAATTAAGATGAGAAAATGTTACCTGTGTAGAGTTTAAGGCTCCATTAAAAATACATCTGAAACATAATAGGTGGAAACTTACAGTTTTGCCTGTTGATGAATGAAATGAATTGTTTCAATCAGCGTGTGTTTAGGAATCAGAATCAGCCGTGTATGTAAGTTTGTTTAACTTTCCTCACCTCTGATTTGTTCTCAGTGCTGTGAAGATCCGGCCTAAAGAGGGCGACGTCTACTTTGATGTCATCGCCGTCGTTGATCCTGTAACCCGAGACGCACAGAAACTAGCTCCTCTCCTCGTGGTGGGTTGAACTAAATCCCCTGCTTGGACTGAGTTCTAATAAGATCTGTCCGGTTGAATCACCTGGCCCTCACCTCCACCCTCTCCACATCTTCTTTCTAACCTGTCTTTCCCTCCTTGACGTTCGCTCTCCGCAGGTTCTGAAGCAGCTGGTAAACCTCAACCTACGCGTCTTCATGAACTGCCAATCCAAACTGTCAGAGATTCCCCTCAAGAGGTGAGGACAGTAGAGGGTCTGATCTCTCTGCTTTTTTCTGCATGGAGCTTACATCTTCAAAGTACTTATAGAAGGATTTACAAAAGATGAAGCACTTAGACCTTTACAAATCAAGTACTGTACTGCTTTAATGCTGATATTTGAAGGGTTAGGACCTTAGTTAGCAGGTCACTGTATTCATAGAGCTCTAAAAACTCCATATTCTGACTCTCCCACCTCTGTTTAAAGTCAAACTGTGTGTTTCTTCACAGTTTTTACCGCCACGTCTTGGAGCCTGAGGTGTCCTTTCAGGTCGACGGTAGTTTTGCTCCGGGCCCCTTGGCTAAGTTCCTGGACATGCCTCAGTCGCCCCTCTTCACCCTGAACCTCAACACCCCCGAGAGCTGGATGGTGGAGTCTGTGCACACCCGCTACGACCTGGACAACATCTACCTGGAGGAGGTACAGCTCAGGTTTTTGTTGTTGTGAGGCTTAGGTCAGGATCAGTCGTGATGACATTTTTAAAAGTTTATCTCGGGAGGTTTTTTCTTTCCAGCTTTATAATCTGAAACTTAGAAGTGTCAACGCTACTAAGTACTAGTAGTTGAACATACTGTAAGAGGAACAAATAATGAGCTTTGATCTTGGAGCTGGGAATGACATCATGCCCGAGTTAACCGCGTTCCTATTGCGAGTTGGCATCAAGTCGGACAAGCAACGTGAACGCCTCCAGGAACACGTTTGTTTTGTTAGCTAACACCAGGTGATGTCAACACACTGGGATAGTTTGCCCGCTACAATAACATGACAACATGTCCACAGATAGAACTAGCACGATACTATTGGTGTTGATTTAATTACACAAACAGAGGACTAAGCTGCTGATGAACACAATAGTTTATTTAATTTTAACAATAGCCATGTTGGATTTTAACTCGGACTACTGATGTTACTCCGAGTTGGAATTTGCGACTTCAGGGGTGCGTTCCTGATGATGTAACAGACCGGCACCTCGAATTTTCCGACTTCCGAGATCAAAATGAACGCATCATAAACTTGACCTTTTCCACACGCCTGTGTTTGCAGGTGGAGAACATCGTCGCGGCAGAGTACGAGTTGGAGCACCTCCTGTTGGAAGGTCATTGTTTTGACGTGAGTTCGGGCCAGCCGCCGCGCGGACTCCAGTTCACCCTGGGTACCGCCTCCGAGCCGGTCATCATGGATACAATCGTCATGGCGAACCTGGTGAGTTATTGAGGAGTGAATCCTTTCATCCTGTTGTGTAACACCTGAGAGCAGAAAGTTTCTGAAAACACAAACACTGTGAATCTCCTGTGCTCTGCTCTGTAGGGTTACTTTCAGCTGAAGGCAGCTCCGGGCGCCTGGATCCTCAAGCTGAGGAAAGGTCGCTCTGATGAAATCTACAAGATTTACAGGTAAGAATGTGGACTTTGGGTTGTCTTGGGTTACAGAGTTGAAATGTCTTATTATTTTTAAAAATCCAGCCTGTCCTCTGACTTGTGGATTTCCTCTCTGTTCTGATCTTTTTATTTTTTATACCCGCTCTGTCTTGTGTTGCAGCCACGATGGCACCGACTCTCCAGCAGACTCTGATGACATCGTAGTCGTGCTGAACAACTTCAAGAGCAGGATCATTAAAGTCAAGGTCAGTGTAACGTCTTAGAAAGTGATCACAATATTAATGTTTAAACTAAACTGAAACAAATCCTCTTTAACGAGCATCAATATATTTTTAGTTTTGTTCAGTCTGACTAGAAACTAGAAGCTGCGCTGATTCTTTTCAGTCATGCAGAACATATACATATAAATAATGTGTAAAATTATACATCTAATTGGGTAAATTTACATGTCATGAATGTGGCCACATGCAGACACACTCTGAATTACAAACACAACAACATTCCCAAAGGTCATCCCGAGACGCCTGTGGGAATAAATAAGACAATAAATATAGAGATCAAAGCCTGGAAATGTGGCCCAATAGATCACAGCAATCTATGAATGTAAAGTTTAAATCTACTTATTTATATCTGTGATGAACTCCCCTCATCATTAAAGGTTCCCTGTAGACTTTCATGTGAACATATTCTCTGTTTACATTCAGTGCGAGAGGATCCTCGAGAAACATGTTCAGGGGGTTTTCTTCCTCATAAAGAGTTTTTGAAAAGCATATTTTTCCTTTAGTATTGACACTTAACTAGCTTGCAGTTGTCATGTTAACTGCTTTTGTTGGGAAATAAGTGTGAATCTTGTCCCACCAGAGCCACCTGTAGCTCAGTGAAGAAGTAAAACCCAGAGCTGAAATGTGCATCAATCTGTCAAAAACTACAGATCACCTTTACATGTTTAATATGGAACGATCTGGATTAAAATGGACCAAAACGAGGCGCCGCTGGACGAGCAGTTAGGGTGCACACTCTGTGTACAGAGGTTGCAGCTCTCAAGGCAGGCAGACTGGGTTCAAATCCGACCTGTGGCTCCTCTTCTGCAAACCGATCCCCACTCTCTCTCTCTCTCTCCCCTACTTCTGACTCTATTTCCTGTCCTATCTTTACAATAAAGGAATAAAAAGACCCAAAATAAATCTTTAAATATACATATATATATTCCAAAAGACTAGATGTACAGTATGTTATCCATTTACTAACTAACTGGGTTCAAATTGTGTTGATCAGGTCCAGAAGAAACCGGACAAGTTTAACGAGGAGCTGCTGAGTGACGTCACCGAGGAAAGTGACGATGGCTTCTGGAAATCTCTGACCAGGTAGAGCTTTCATTGTGCTCGTTACTGCTTCATCAAAAAGTTAATAAAGACACCAATAAACAAAATCATTGTAAAGTGCATCAGTGCATATGTTTATATATAAATAATCAGATTTTCTATCATCAGTTTGTTTTATTTTAAAAGTACGACTGAATATCAAAATGTTTAATAAGATGTCTGTTCATGGATAAATACGTCTTCTGATATTAAAAAGTATCTGTTTCTTTAAAGTGAGCACTTCTTTGTCTCCTGTCTCTCAGAGGGTTCACAGGTGGAGGAAAGTCAGAGGAGCAGAAGCAGGAGAAGGACGACGTCATCAACATCTTCTCTGTGGCCTCGGGGCATCTGTACGAGAGGTTCCTGAGGTGAGACGGAGAGAGGGGAGAGTGTCGTATCAGTCAGAGTCCTCCAAATCTTAACATCCCCTTCCTCTTATGTGTACAAAGACTTTATTGATTTTGGTGCCTTTGTTCCCCGAGCTCTGTCACCACCACTCTTTTGACTCTCCTTTCCCTCTCAGGATTATGATGCTGTCAGTTCTGAAGAACACCAAGACTCCTGTCAAGTTCTGGTTCCTAAAGAATTACCTGTCTCCCACTTTCAAGGTAGGATTTTGATTTTTTTTTTTTTTCTTCCCCTGGTGTTACTTTTGAAAAATCAGCTGGCTTCTCATCGTTGATGCAGAGATTTTCTCTGACGGCTGCAGCCCTTTCTCTCCGTCTGTCGGTGATCTGAGCTTCAAACAGGAGTTCTGAGAAATGAAGGTGAAACATCCAGCAGGGGAGAGATCTCCTGATTTAAGGAGAGGACTTCAGAGATTTCTCCGGCTCATCATTATAATTCTTGCTTTCTTGCTTCTTTCACCCTGGTTTTTGTTGCTAAGCCTCGTTATCCTGCAGATGATATTTTGTTTTGTGACTATTTCTATTTGTAGAGGGCACACAAGAGAAAACACACCTAGACTCTCCAGTGTTTTTCCTGCAAATTAAAGGTCACATATTATACAAAATACACTTCACCGTGTTTTTCTAACTAATATGCGTCACTAGTCTGTCTGCAAACCCCCCAATTATGAGAAAAGTCCATCCTCTCCGTCTTTTGCCTGCTCCACTTTTCAGAAAATGTGTGCTCAAACAGGCCGTTTGGAGATTTTCCATCATGACATCACAAAGGCAGTAACCCCTCCCCCAGGTGGGTGACACTCCCACAGCTCGGTGTTTGTTCTGCCCTCTGAGTCCGCCTTCTCACAGTAAGAATTAGGGCATGGAGCAAGAAAGCCAGAGCCACCCAAGCCCTTCCAGAGAGGGGGGCGTGGTCAGACACAGCTCATTTACATTTAAAGCTACAGACACAGAAACAGCCTGTTCTGAGCAGGGCTGAAAGAGAGGGGTTTATAGGCGTGATCAAATACAGGATCAGAGTGGATTTAAAACAAGAAACTTCACAGACATGTTTTGGGGAGCTCTGAGACTTATTTAAACTTGTTAAAAAGGAGGAGAATATGTGACCTTTAAGAAAAAATCTGAAGAAATTTGCTGCAAAAGAACTGCAAACATCAATAAGATAATATAACATTAAGTGATCAATAAAACTTTCAGGGTTTACATCCACTTGCTCATCCATCTGTTTAAGTGTTTTAGTTCATTTGTAAAGCTTGACAATGAATCATGTAGTGAAAACATCTCTCAGATCAACAAATACACATTTCATAACACTGACAGGTTGTTTTTGTGCCCGATCACTTTGCAGGAGTTTATCCCCGACATGGCGAAGCAGTATGGCTTCCAGTACGAGCTGGTCCAGTACAAGTGGCCTCGCTGGCTACACCAACAGACCGAGAAGCAGAGGATCATCTGGGGCTACAAGATCCTGTTCCTGGACGTGCTGTTTCCTCTCGCTGTCGACAAGATCCTGTTTGTAGACGCAGACCAGGTTAGTTCATACAAGAGGAACTAGACGACAAAGCAGACATTTTGAATCGCTGCAATCAAAATATAGTTACATTGGTTATAATCTCTGGATTTTCCTTTGGACCAAAAATATTCAGTTCTCTAGAAATGTAACAGGTTTGAATCATCTTTCTTGGAAAATGTAATAAAGCATTAGATGTTGGAGTTTAAATTGTTGCACTTTCTTATAAGTTATATAGCCTTTACTGGATTGGACAGCTGAAGAGACACAGGAAATGTTAGGAGGAGAGAGAGGGGAGGACTGCAACCTCTGTTCATGAGCCGCTAGGTTATACAGCGCCCAGTTGTTGCACTTTCACACGTGATCTTACTAACAATGCTCTAAAGTTTAAACACTACATGGATCAGAGGGATATCACTCTGATAATTCTTCAATAATTATGAATTGTTAAAGTCTGATTTTGGGTCAAAAGTGACAAAAACATCACAATTAATAGATTCTTTGGACGTACTGGACGAATGACACATTTAGAAAAGCAACTCGGTGTTGTTTGCTCTCCTCCAGATTGTGAGAACAGACCTGAAGGAGCTGCGTGACTTCGAGTTAGACGGAGCTCCGTACGGCTACACTCCGTTCTGCGAGAGCCGGCGGGAGATGGACGGCTACCGCTTCTGGAAGTCGGGCTACTGGGCGAGCCACCTGGCCGGCCGTAAATACCACATCAGGTACAGACAAGAACACACACACACACACACACACCTCTCATGCATGTTTCATGTGCTTCTGTCCTTTGTCTCCCGCAGTGCGCTGTACGTGGTCGACCTGAAAAAGTTCAGAAAAATAGCTGCAGGAGATCGACTCAGAGGACAGTACCAGGGGCTCAGCCAAGACCCCAACAGCCTCTCGAACCTGGACCAGGTCTGTGACTCCGTCTGTCCATGTCTGACATGTTAATGTGAATGTTGTTATTCTGAAGTCTTAGATGGTTTTAAAGGGATTTTTTTTTACATCTTACACTTATTGTAGTACCATTAGTTGTCCCTTTGGTATTCAGGAGTTTGTTATTACCCAGCAGCCTTCATTGTGAGAAATGACACATTTCATCTGATCCGTCTCACCATGTCAGTGTTTGCTTATTGCTGTTTCCTCTGCTCATGATTTAATGACAACAGAAATTAAACAGGCCAGACTTAAAAGGCAACAAGAAAAGCTTTTAAAAACACTCATTGTACCTACATGACCATAAAACTGAACAAAAACAAAGGAGGCAGATGGTGACAATGCAGGATGAAAGGAGTGTGTAGAGTGGATTCTTCTCCCGATGCTCGTCTGTACGTTAAAGATCAAACTAAAGAATCTGAAGTCTGACTAAGAGGAAACTAAAGCTTTAAAAGAATGTGTTCTCCTGGGTTAGAGTTAAACAAAAAAAAAAGTTACCTGTAACAGATGTTCCCAGCTGTCTCTTCCTCCTTCATTGGTCTCATTGTGAGTTTTTTTTTTTTTTTTTTCAGGATCTGCCCAACAACATGATCCACCAGGTGCCCATCAAGTCTCTGCCTCAGGAGTGGCTGTGGTGCGAGACCTGGTGTGACGACAGCTCCAAGAGGAGCGCCAAGACGATAGACCTGGTAACAACAGTGTGTGTGTGTGTGTGTGTGTGTGTGTGTGTGTGTGTGTGTGTGTGTGTGTGTGTGTGTGTGTGTGTGTGTGTGTGTGTGTGTGTGTGTGTGTGTGTGTGTGTGTGTGTGTGTGTGTGTGTGTGTGTGTGTGTGTGTGTGTGTGTGTGTGTGTGTGTGTGTGTGTGTGTGTGTGTGTGTGTGTGTGTGTGTGTGTGTGTGTGTGTAATATGTAGTATAAGTGCGTTAAAATATATAAAAAGAAAAATCCTAAATCTGCAGGACCCTGTACAGTTCGACAGTGTTGCAAAGTCAGTGATGTGTTTTCTTAAAGATTGTAATACTTCTAATGAGCCACCAGAGGGCAGACAAACCAACTGTAAGGAAGTTTCTACTGAAGTTTCTGAGGTTAAATTAAGTCACTGAGAACTGCTGAAAAACACAATTTAACTCAAAAAGAATTTGCTTTTAACTTGAGTCATGTTTTTACAACACCTTAACCAACGCTTCACACACACATAAAACAGATGTACATCAGGTCACATCATCTTATTTAAAACAACTCGAGTACATCCTGCCACTATCATCCTCTAAACTCATCCGTCCCCTTCTTTCAGAGAGAAGAAGGAACTCACAAATGACTCCAACTTTTTAAATAAGGATAAAGATCAACTCAGTGCAGCACAGAGCTGCAATCAGAGTGATGCCACCAAACTTAATGAAACCATGAACCAATGAGACAGAACAAGGCAGTCTACACTGACACAAGAGTAAGATGACTCTTAACTAGGGGCACCGGTAGCTTAGTGGTTAGTGCACACGCCCTATGATCTTAAAATGGTTGAACGATGCCCTTGTTGCATCAGGCATTAAACAAACACAATGTTTCCACAGAACACTGTAACAAGAGGAGAGCTGTTTATAAAAACACTACATGGTTCTGAACAAACTGGAGTAAAAGCAGAAGAGAAATCCCATTTTTACTCCAACCACCTGTGAGCATCATAGTTGATTTTCTTGTTTTTTATCCTGATCTTCAGTGTAACAATCCCATGACCAAGGAGCCCAAGCTGCAGGCCGCGGAGAGGATTGTGGCCGAGTGGGCCGATTACGACCAAGAGATTAAACGTCTGCAGACCAGAGTCCAGAAGGTAGCAGTACACACAGAGAAGCAGCAAAACGCAGGTACTGCCTCATGACACACTCCTTCAAATACAGTTTGTGCTTGTTTAAAAAAGAATAATAATAATAATTATAGAGCAGTGTTTAAATTCAATGTCCATCCAGTGATTTTATGAAACGGAGAAGTCAGCAGGTTCTGTATAATTGTGTGAACTAGTGTTGTAGTCGAGACCCCACTGACCAAGACCAAGACCAGATACCTTAGTGCATCGAGACAGAGTCAAGACCAAGACCTTAAATACAAATGAAAAATCCTCATCTTGTGTGCAGTGGGCGTGTCACTTACTCCAACGTAACACGAGAATGTTGCAGCCTTAACCGGGGGATAGAAATCAAATTACAAGTGAATTGAAGTTATTTTAGAAACAGGCGTTTTCCTTCTGATCACAGTGATGACGTGGAAGCCTATCAGTGGTGGTCTTGATTTAAAATCTGGAGTCCAGTCTGACACCGAGACAAGAGCGAGTAATAATGTTTCGATTCCTAGACCTTCAAAAGAGGTCTCGAGACCAAGACTGATTTTGAGTACTACAACACTAACGTGTCCTGATGATGTGACAAATATCTGTCCTGATCTTGAACATGTTTATCAGCCTGACACTTCCTCTCCTTTGTTTCAGACTCTCACACCGAGCTGTGAGGATCGTTCAGTGTTCGACATGAAGACAGGACTGAACTCTGTTTAAAGAGTCTTTCCATGACAAGGATCCTCTCCTGCCTGAGGAGAGGGACGGGGGGGGGGACTTCTGACACACTGACCCCCACACACCAGTGCTCAACTGTTTTCTGTCCTTTAGTCCCATCTGAAGAGAAGTCCAAAAGCTGGTTTATTCTGTATGTGTGAGTGCCAGTGATGAGAATGTTTTCATAAATCAAGAAGTTTAATTTTTACTTTATTTTGGGTGTCGTTGTCTTTGCTCTGTATGTCATGTGGGTCTATGTTTGCACTGAGTGGGGTGTCTTTGGTTCGGGCTGTGGTTGAAGCACAAAGGGAGGACGAGCTCAGAGCACCTCACTGCTGCTCCTCTGGAGGTTTTGATCTTTACCAAACATTTGGTGTTGGGATGGATTTCTGCACAGTCACCGTCATAAAATGAGAATGAGGCTGTTAGGCTTTCCTATGAGCTCGTAAAGGGGACAGGGGAACGTTTTTAAACGTCTTTTTTCAAGGGTTGATATGAAGAACTCGACTAAAATAAATTAAATGCCAAATTTCAGACATATGAACTCACACTGGAAACCCTGATAGTGATAAATATATACATATAAACCCTTATGTATGTATCTCACTATGGTTTTATGGCATCAAAGTGCTGATTTCCAAAAAAGATGATCCTTGTAATTCTTTAAATCTGATACTGAATAAAAAAAGAATTAACAAAGATTAGTTTTTTAAATCTTCTTGGTAGAATTCTGAATTTCCACAGCAGACCAACATAACGTGTTTTGCAAAGTCAAACTTCAGATATATCATAAATCAAAGGGTCTGGAAATGAAGGTCAAGCTTATTCATTCAGATCCCGTTTCTATGGCGATGGGGATCCCATAGTTTAAGAATCATTTAAAACTTTAGGAGATGTTCAGTGTTTGTTTACAAAGCTAAACTTTCTCTCGCTCTACATCTAGAACTGAAAGGCAACACTGATAATGTCCCGTCTGGTATTTGAAATAAAAAATGAAAGATACTCGGGCGGCAGAGACTCACAGAATCGTTTGGGTTTTTTTAGTACAAAGTTTGATTCAAGAGACGAGGGGACAGTTTGTGGTACTGTAAGGGAAGATCAGCCATGATGACTTTGGACTTCAGCTGCAAAATTATTTGTTTGTGTTGTTTGTGTCTGGTTCTGTTGTGGCTGTGAGATATTTTTGTTAAATAAAAACCCTCCAATGATAAATGGTCAAGTGTATTGTCAGTGTTTTATAAATGCTAACCGATGTTGAAACATTTGACACCACAGGAGTGACTCCGGGGCGACTCAGTTGGTCTCTTCGATCCCGAGCTCCTGCAGCCACATGTCCGATGCTTCCTGCTGCTTTGTGGGCGGTGTGTGATTAGTTACTTTCCATAGCAGCCTCTGCCGTCAGCGTGTGAATGTGTAGGTGTGACAGCGCTTTACAATCTACGATACTGATCCTGGACTCTGCTCTCCACACACAAAACCTGTTAGTGGAAGGTTTCAGACTTTTATTGTGATCCATTTGAAAAAAGCTTTTACAAAAAGGTAACATTCAATTTATACACCATTTCTTTAAAAAAAAATCACTTAAAATAAGGTTTTTGATACAACAAATTCAGTTTACTAAGTAATGGCTTCTATAAACAAAATGTGAAAATAAAGAGAATATACATGTAAATGAATGCTACACACATGAGGACAAACTGAGGAAAGGGTTACATTAATTAAAAAAATAATAATAATAATAATGATGGCATGATTGTTTTCCTTTAACTTGAGTGATATCTGACCAGAAGAACCATCAGAGCAGTTACTGCAAAAAAAAACAAACCCCACGTCGTCTGGTTCCCAACTGGAATGTTCAATCACAAACACCCTCGAGGGGTCTGATCGGTAACGTTTTGCATCCGTTTGTGGGTTTTCTCTTCTCATGGCAACATCGGTGCATGTTCTCCTCCTGCAAACCATGTGCGGCTGACAACGACAGAAAACCTGCAGAGGTAACCTCTAGTCTTTAAAACCGCTTCGATTTTTGCAACACTTACATTGTCAAACAGACGGAAAGCAAAAAAAAAAAAGAAAGAAGTGAATTTACAACAAAATAGGAGCGGGAAACAATAATTCGACGTGTACAAACACAGTGGACAGTGGGGCTCGTGAGGACAGACGAGACATTCTGTTCAGACTGACCCGATGCTGGAAGAAACTGCATCTATTTCCACCCCCCCCCACCCGAACTCGATGACGGAAAACATCAACTTCAGATCAGTTTAACAGTGGTGCTGACGTCCTGCGCTGACCGCCAGCCGAACAGCCCGCTCTGCTTGAAGCAGCACTGCATGACATCAGCGTCAGCCCTCATGTCGACTGTCAGTGATCGGGGTGACAGCTGCTGAAAAGTTTGGGGAAACCAGCTCATTTGCTTTGTCGCAGAGTTTGAGGAGAAGATTGACACCACTCACATTTCTGTGCACCAAGTACGACGGATTAGCTTAGCTTACCATAAAGACTGAAAACAGTGAGGGGAGTGGTCACCTAGCCGGGCTCTTTCTAAAGGTTACAAAAATCTGCCTACAATCACCTGACGCTTCTTTAGTTCACACATTGTACCTACAGTCGTTTTTTAATCTCTACACACCCTGAAATGAAAGAGTCTATTTGCTCTTCTACAGAGGAATATGTACGAGACTATTTCTCGGCTGGGAGCAAAAACTTCCTGCAGTGTCCCCCTGGTGTTCTAGCAGAAAAAACTAAGATACAAAGATATATATCATGAGCTTTTGAGGTTAAAGTCAGATTTGTGAAGAGTCGGTGTAGCAGTGTTTGTGCTAAGCTAAGCTAACCAGTAGTTTATCAAACACAAGAGGTGTCATTCTTCTCTGTCAGCTGCTGGACTGAAGACAAATGTCCAAATGTTCTGCGCTATGATGACATTTTTGGGGACAACAGCAGCAGCAGCAGCAGCAGCAGCAGCAGTGTGACAGTTCAGCCTGGATCGAGTGCTGCTTCAAACAAACCGCGCTCAGTTCTGTCAAAACTCACCCGACACAAAAATTCAATAATCCCAGAGAGGTTAAGCCACTTCCTTTTCTTTCTCGGTCAGAAACTCCTCCTCCTCCTCCTCCTCATCATCGTCTCCATTTCACAAACACATTAATATCCGTTACAGTTACATCATCTGCAAAGCTTAAAAAACACATGCACCTCCAGCATTTTATACAAGAGTATGATACAAAATAAGGCATTTCATTGTGTTGAGTATTCATGTCAAGTGTTAATACATGTTTGTGTGTGTGTGTGTGTGTGTGTGTGTGTGTGTGTGTGTGTGTGTGTGTTGACGCGTGTACATAGCGACCACATTTGAATGTTATTTTTTTGCCTGCCTATAAAAAGACTGCAAAAACAAACATAAAGTCATGATAACTCTTACTTAAAATATATATATTTGTCATATATATTTACGTATATATTCATATGTAAAAAAAAAAAAAAAAAGAAAAGAAAAGAAAAAGGTAAGAGGGAAAAGTAGCCCAAAAGGTCCCTGTGATAGGCCAGTTCTCAAAAATAAAATTTAAAAAAAAAATCTCACCCCATTGGCCCCCTTATTCCATAACCTCAGCAGGCGCCACCGTGACCAGCTGTAAAGGGATCTCCTGATTGCCTACGAGGTCATGGGTGGCGGCCTGGAGGATTAGCGTGGTTCCGTCGGCAGTGATGAGGGTGTCAGTGGTGGGCGGGGACGTGGAGGGGACCCCACCTTTTTTATTCTGGTGAGTCTTTATGTGCTTGGCCAGGTGGTCGCTCCGCATGAATCTCTTGGCGCACTCTGTGCACACAAACTTCTTCTCTCCTGTGAGGACGAAGAAGAAACATGAGACGGGGTTAGGAGAGGAAACAAACCTTCACAGTATGACTAAACAGACCAGACCCATAACGACCACTTCATCAGTGTTGACAAATAGAGGTGTGTCGACCCGTGTGTAACGGTAAACTGTGGTTAAGGAAACTTATTAACAGTCTAATACGTTTTTTTTCTTAACAGAGGGCTTTGTTTTTTAATTATTCAGTTCCGTAATGAGTGTGTGGGCTTACAGAATCATTCAGAGATGCACCGATCCAACTTTTTTCACTCATCTTTTTCTGATACCTATGTGCAGATATTTTTATAATCATAACAAATAGTGCTATTTGTGTTGTTGGTATTATGTGCAAGGCTACACAAAGCTGTGGTAAACCAGACATTGAATTGTGCTGGTTTCATACAAACAGGAAGCAGAATTCATGTAGTTGAGCTCTCAGCCTACAGTGAAAGTTGTGAAGCGGCCTGCAGACCCACAGCCGCAAGTCGTTCTGCCCACCTCCGCTGGTCACTCGTTAAACTTAATGCAGGAGTCTTTCAACCAAAAGAGCGTTCCACGAGGTTTATTTATGGAACATTATTCCACCGTTTGCTTTAAATGCATGATTATGACCTCGTGAGGGAGAGAAAAAAAGAAGAAGTGTTGCACAGCCAGCCTGGTTTGTGTCACTATGTTTCCAAGCACAGCTTTCAATCAGCGTGCAATACACAATGAATGAGGATGAATTTTCAATCGCGTCACCTCAGGTGTAGCGTGTGATGTGAGGGCTGCACCCGCGGTAATGACATCACGTGTGTCAGTATTTCATACTGGTATAATGGTCACATCCTTACACACCGGATTTTAAGGCACTTGTTTATAAGCTTTAAATGAACTCCAGACATAAACACTGTGCCCTTTAGTTTGAACTAAATATTATAATACATTAAACAAATGTATATAAAAGGTGGAGATGACTTAGAAATAGAAAGGCAGACTGTAGACTTGATCCACAACACTTCCATACCTGTGTGTGTCCTCCTGTGTCTCTGCAGCTCGTCGCTCCGGGTGAACCTCTTCCCACAGAACATCCAGTTGCAGACGAAGGGTCTCTCTCCGCTGTGCCAGCGCAGGTGAGCTCGCAGGTGAGACGTTTTCCCGTAAACCTTCCCGCAGCCGGCGATGTGGCAGATGTGCTGCTTCTTTTTCCCCATGCCGGACCCTCTGTGAAATACATGAAGCATAAAGAGATGTCTAGACGGTACAAATATGTTCAATCATAAGAGTGTGAGCAATTTAAGAACAGCAAAAGTTAAATTACTGTTATGAAACAATATTCTTTACCACTATGATGACAAAGGAAACATTTGCATTTGGTATTTACATGGATGAATTTGCAAGCAAACAGATTTGAATAAAACATTCAAATTTGATCAAGAAATCCAACAACTGAAAGCTTTATTTCACATCAACATGAGAGCTCAAACCAGTAAGGAGAGTCTGAGGCTGCGTTCAGACGGAAAGCCTTATTGCACAAGTCAGATTTAGTTTTTGTTTTTCAGGGCCCATGTGGTTGAGCCTGTTGAAGGTGGCAATGCTGGGTTGGTTGTGGTGGCAAGTGAGGGCTGTAAGTAGGTCATGTCAGGTCAACTTATCAGTAGGGTATGATGGGTTTCTTCACTGATTACTGATCAGAACTGATGTTCTAAAAACCCCTGAAGAAGAACATAGTTCAAAAAGGTAACTTTAGGGGCAACTCTGCTTTTTCAGTATGAAAATGGTTCACTTCTTGTCAGGGTACATCACCATTGTGACTCCTGCTGAACACCTATTTGTATTCATGATAGTGCAGAACTGTAACGGATGTCCCTCACACTGTGGTTTAAGTGTTATGCTTTCTAACCTGACTGCTCACACTGAGGTTGACTTGCAAAAGATCCAACCTGTATCTCATCGAGGACCACACTGACAGATGCCCACATCTGATTTGACAAGATCAGATTCCATCTGAGTCACGTGTGAGCCACGTGTGATTTGGGTCACTTCTGCCTGCAGCCTAATTCTAAGTCCTGAACAAGTGTTTTTAGAACAACATGTTGGTGTCGTTGTATTTTTTTTTACAGAAATCTGTCCTTTTATACCTATTTTATGGTTGTATTTTAAAAATCTAATTTGTTTTTTACTGCTTCAACAGTAATGCTTAATAAAAAAGGGTCTCCATTCTCTTAAGGAATAACATCAGCACTCGCTCCTCCCGTCGTGGTGAAAGTGACTCACCTTCCTCCAGACTCTTTGCAGTTGGGACAGGTGCAGGCCACTCTACGGAGCCTCTTCCCCTCCCCGCCCGCCATGTCCATGTCGTCGTCCCCCATCTGAACA